TTAGCTAGCCCATAGTCCATGAGATTGGCATCAGACCCTGAGTCCACCTAGACCTGAACGACAGGGTAAGCACAGTCTTGGGACGTGAGGAGGGTCAAATTAAATGGGTACGACTCACCAATGTCCTCCTCTTCATGGGTGAATCCTTTCGTGGACATGAAGCTCGCAGATGATCCTTCCCTCCGCAGTAGAAACAGCACCCCTCCTGGAGACGTCGCTGCTTCTCTGCTGGCGTCAGCCGGGTATGTCCCAATTGCATGGGCTCCTCCTCAGCCTGAAGACGGGAAGAGCCTATGGCCCCAGAAGGCCGATCCCTAAAATCTTCCACCATTAATCCCTCTGGGGTGGAATTGAACCCCCGGGAACGGGGTCTGTATCGGTTCTTCTCCTCCTCTCTTTCTGCCAACCGCTTGTCAATCTTGGTCACAAGAGCAATGACCTCATCCAGGTTCTCCGGAATATCCAAGGGTGTCAATAAGTCCCTGATCGTGGCTCCCAGTCCATGAAGAAAAGCGTCTATGAGGGCCGCCTGATTCCAGCCACTGTCAGCCGCCAGGGTGCGAAAATCAATGGCGTAGTCAGATGCCCGCCTGCCACCTTGCCTTAAGCCCACCAGTGTCCTTGCTGCCTCTCGTCCAGGTAATCTCTGCTGAAATATTCGGCTAAAAGCATCCATGAACTCAGCCAGAGAACTGCACACGCTGGAACGTCGAGCCCATTCAGCTGTAGCCCAAGCCTCAGCCCGTCCAGTTAAGTGAGAGATAATAAATGCAATCTTAGACCTCTCAGAAGAAAATGCTGCTGCATGGAGCTCAAAATGCAGCTCGCACTGTGTCAGAAAGGCCCGACAGTCCCCAGATTCCCCGGAAAATTTATCTGGTCTGGCCAGGTTGACCAGTGACTTTGTGACTGGTCCAGATCCCTCTGAACTGGCAGCGTTCTGGTCCGGTGTAGGAACGAATTGGATGTTTCGTACCTTGTCGATGAGCATGTTGATCTGCCCATCGAACAAAGTCATCATAGTGGCTTGGCGTTTAGACATCACCCTCAACTCATGGCGGAGGGTCTGGAGCTGCTCCTCATGCCGGCGGAGATGATCATGGTGAGCCGAAAACGCCGACTGAGCCGTAGGCGAGTCTGCTGGGTCCATGTCTTGGCGTGTTCGTTCTATCACGGTCGTGACGCCAGGACCCAAATGCACAACTCCAGGCAAGGGAATCAGAGGAAGACGTTTAATCCAGAAAAAGGTCGGTACACGGGTAGGCAGTAGATCAGGCAAAAGTACAAGGACGGCAGGCAAAAATGGAGGTCGAGAAAAGGCAGGCAAAGGTCAGGATAACAAGGCAAGACTAGACTAGAACGCTTGAACAACTGACGAATAGACAAGTACGAACACGCGACGAACGGGCGACAGACTGGGGACTAAATACACAAGACAGGGAAGGAAACAATGAGACACAGGTGGAGGTAATTAGGGAGGAGTCAGGAATCAACAGAGAGCAAGTGGGAAAGCCACACAGGGACCAAACAGGAAGGACTACAAAACAAAACAGGAAACGTGACAAGACACCCATGACAACAGCTAGGTTACAAGATGTCAACAGCCTTTGTTGAAATGTATATCTGCCATCATTGTTCAAAATAGCAGCTTTAAGTAAAAGTTGTAACAAAGAAAACTTTGAAGAATAGTGCTTGTAGTATTTATGCATCATGATTTTTGTTTCAATGTTAGTTCTTATTTCCCGATTTTTTATGAGAATGGGTTGTTTATGAGCATATGTTTGAGCAGCGTCTGTGGCCTGTAGTTGCCAAATCCAAACAGGTGGTGAGATGGTGCGGTTTTCCTGACGTTTGGTTTGGTTTGTTTGGTTATATGCATGATGGTCCAATTTAACCTTCTGCTGAGGTCTGCTAGACAGGTCAATTTAGTCAAGTACTGGATTAACTATCATTTTTTTGCAAATATTTCATGGCAGTTCGTGTGAATATTGTGTGGTATCTTTTGGCCTTAATTAGTGATGACAAAATATTTCCACATTAATTTGTGCTCCGCATCACCCTGGTAGAGAATAAATTTACAACCCCAATGTGACCATGCTTGACAAATCTTTCTGAGTAAGATTAGCGGTATTTCAAGTTGAGATGAAAATAAGTGGTGATTTATTGCAGAAACTTGCCAGAGTGAAAAGCAAGATTCACAAACAGAAGTGAGGCCACCTATGATATTTTGAATAATACACCTGATACACCTAAAATGTAAAAAATAAACATAAGAAACAGGTCTAATATGCTGTTATATGCATTTGGGATTATATGGACACAGAGGGAGAATATTTAAGTAATTCCGCAGTGTAGATGAGGATGTGACAGGCCAGACAAAAGGAGGAAGTCCTTTTAATTGTAGTACTAAAGACTTTCAGATGTTACCATTAAGTATACAGTAGGGTAACCTTTAAAAGCAGCTAACGGTAGCTGCTGAAAAAAAATCAAAAGGAAAGAAGTTCATCAGATATATGATGACTAAAAAAGTTTAAATGTGACTACGGGGTCACAAGCTTCCTCATTCTTCTGATTAAATTTCTCAAAATGACACATCCACAGCTGCCTACTGAACAGATGATGAGCAGCAGGTTATCAAGGGCTCAGCATGAGCATTGCATCTTAGCAGATATCCTGATTGTCTCATGTTTGTCAGCACAAAGAGGGAGACACCATCACAGACTGTTAGATAACTCTTTTGCTGTTCAAAAACACCAACTTTTCTGTGAAGGACAGATAGTTTCAACGAAATAAACAAGGTCTTTAACTCTGTTTAACTCAATGGATATGTGACAACCAGGTGATTCCATTTCCCATAATACAGATCACTATTTGCTATAATTTGTCAGTAGATTTAGACTAATTCTTTATTTTCCTTTTATTCACATAGACAAAATTTGCTATTGATGTTACGATTATTAGATAACTGCAAAGAAAAAAAAAGGTAAAGATACACCCATTTAAGAGGTAAGCCTAGGAGAGCTGCTTCAGAAATTAAAAGAACAAACTAATGACAAAATTTCTTAAATCTATATTTCAGTAGTATATCATGTCAAGCAGGTAATTTTCATACTTTTACAGTATGTAAAATCTTTAAAGTATCTACTGATGATTGATGCACATTTTAAGTATTACTTCTCAGATGTTACCACCTTGATTACATAATACATAGTAAAACCTCAATCATAATCTCGGAGCACTGGTGACATCTAGTGGCTAAATAAGTGCCAGCATAACCAAATGTTACATTTTATCTTTTATAAGTGTTTATTTTTTGGGATCAAGTATGTACCTTACAACTGACTGTAGAATATTTACTACGACCTAAACAAGTCATAATGTCACAATTTTGGTCTAGGACTGATTGTAGAAGCCCAATGTTCATGTTGCGGTTAAGAAACCCAAAACGTCTTCTGGAAGACTTCAAACTAAGCCAAAGGAAGTTGAACAATAACTTTTTTTAAATCAATTTAAATGGTCACACCTGACCAAGAGTAATTTGAAATCAAGATTAAAGCTCATACATCCTGTTGATGGAAAAGTCACCAAATTTGTAGATCTTGTTTTTGGACCTTATGGATCCGTATTTAACACTGTGATAGGGCCTATACAAAAACGCTAAAATTTAGCAATGTTTGCTTCCGAAATTTCTTTTTTACCTTGGACTTTTTCAAACTGTAACTTTATTCTTCTTTTTTAATATAATGTCAAGTGCAACTTAAAGAAAAATAAACCAGAAGTCATGGAATGTACTGGATTGATCCAAGTCTATTGTTGATTACTTCATTAAGTTGTGAAATCAAGTTGATGACTGTGTCTGTAAGATAATAAGTGCGAAGTCATTTGGTTGGTTAAAGAAAAAAAAAACCCCATTACATTCAGCTGTTCCAAATGTGGCAAAAATCTATCCTGTCTCTTTAACGCCATGATCAGATTCTTCCATTGCCCAATAAGAAATTGAAAACAAAGCTCCCGTGATGGCAAAACCGTTTCTGATTGGACATTTACAATGACGTAGACGGTCCCTCACTATTGATAGGGCGATCTTCCGTCTCTCTTTAGTACACACCCCATCATTGCTGCAGGTTACAGGGCAGGCAACCTGAAGAAGGTAACGTAAAGCTCCGTTTTAAAATACAAGATAAAACAGTATGTTAACTGTAAGATAATGGAAATTAGGAGTTCCTATTATTGAATGGCAGTAACTACCAACGTACGGCTGTCCATCCAAACAGTCGAAAAGATTTACAACTGTATAATTTATGAATAACATACATTTCCCCAAACTTCTTCATTTTGATGATGCATATGTGTTAATTTAGTTCGAATAGGTTTTTTATTATTATAGCTAACTACGTCACTACGTGACCTAGTTTTACGAGTACAATGGCTAATGTTCAACCATTTCAAGCAATTCAGTTCAGCGTTTTAGGAACAGAAACGGTAACTGGTGAAAACGAATTCCACTAAAGAAATTACAACTCAAAGTTGTAGTTGATAAATAAATCTTATAAATGCCATCAATACCACGTTAATATGAAGGGATTTTGACTGTTCATTACTAAAAAAAATGTTTTGAAAGTTAACATAAGTCTTACTGTTGAAACCTTATAGGCTGTAGTTTTCAAAGAAAACCAAACTTAAAATAGTTGAAAAAAATAGGTCAATTATGTTTAAAGTATTGAAATGAAATAATAAAAAAAACAAGGTGTTTCAAACTATAAAAGTACTATCTTTTGTCCAACGATTACAACTCAGGAGTATTTGTTTGCAAAGTGAATTATTAAGATATATTCAAATCTGCTGTGGATATTTTTTGTTTGTTTTGGAAAAGGTGTGAAGATTTAAACACCTGCCAGCTATTTTCTTAATAATACTTCTGTCTTCAAAATCAAAATAATGTAGGCTTTAATGAGCTGCATCACAATAATTTTCTTTTATCCTGTCACCCAGATTCAATCATGGACCTTGTACTGAATGTTGCGGACTATTATGTCCTCACTCCATATTTGTACCCTGCATCGTGGCCTGAGGACGGGGCCCTGCGACAGATCATCAGCCTCTTAGTGGTGACGAACCTTGGGGCAGCAGTCCTGTACCTGGGCCTGGGAGCCATCAGCTACTTCTTTATCTTTGATCACAAGCTTATGAAACACCCTCACTTCTTAGAGGTATGCAGCCTGAGGTTTATAGGTGTTATAATAAACTACACGTACTGGGGAAACTTTCGATCAGTTGAACTTTGTATCCACAATGTAAGACATGCCAGAAATTAGAGTGCACAGTAAATGCATATTTCGTATTTAACTATGTTGTTTATTTTCACCCTTTGTATGGGCATGAGAACAATCCTATGTAAAAAAAACAATAATATTAGTTCAGCATGAAAATAAGAAGCATTTTCTGTTGCTTAACTATCACAGAACAAAACGAAGCACTTTGAGTAGTTTTTAAGAACGCACGCATTGACTCACAGTGCATCACATCTGTAATATTTAACAGATTGTAACACAAATGCAGATGTTGAACAGAAAATACAGCATTGTAAATAAAATATGATTTAATGTTCTATAGACTTGATGGTTAGCACTTCCGCCTCAAAGCAAGAAGGTTTTGGGTTCAACTCCTGGGGGACACAGTCCTGTGTGGAGTTTGCATGTTGTCCCTGTGTCTGCGGGGGTTCTCTCCGGGTTCTCTGACTTCCTCCCGCAGTCCAAAAACCTGCATGTTACATTGATTGGACATTCCAAATTGCCCTTAAGAGTGAATGTGAGTGTGCGTGGTTGTTTGTCCTTGTATGTCTTGTGTGTGGCCCTGCGATGGACTGGCGGACTGTCCAGGATGTACCTCGCCCATTGACCACTGGGATAGGCTCCAGTTCTCCCCGCGACCCCATTAGGGAATAAGCGGTAACAATAATGGATGGATGGATGTTCTATTGGGGCCTCCCTAAGGGCAGACGGGTAAACAGGTGCTCACTAAGATGACAGCTTTTTTAAAAATGTTTTTGGTTCCGGAACGGTAGCCGTTATTTGAAACGTCCTGCAGTAAGAGAGGAGAGACACAAAAAGTCTATAAGGCAGTACTTGGTGATAATGACAGAGCGCCACCAGTTGCTGGTTATTATGTTACTGCACTAAAACAAAATATGAATCAGTTTTTCTGTAAGACGGTGTCATAAGCTATCTTGCTAGTATAATTCTACTTTGACATGGTAAACATGAGGGATTAAACTTCTTTTACTGCCGGACAGAAGATGAGGCCTGATGAACCTTCTAGCAAATGTTGATGTGCACCTGTGATTGATAAAGGAAAAAATGTGTGCTGATGTGTATTCACTTAATTATCTAAATCTTTTATTTGATATTGTGTAAATATAGTTTAGATAATGGCTGATTATTGCATGAATCCCTCTGTATTCTGCGTATGCCTACCTTCCTCATATGCCTTATATTTAAGATGTGTTTTTACTTTGTCTCTCTTAGAATCAAGTATGGAGAGAAATTAAATATGCAATGACATCTCTGCCCTGGATCAGCATTCCTACTGTGGCTCTGTTCTTTGCTGAAGTCAGAGGATACAGCAAATTGTACAACAACGTCAGCGATTCCGTGCTGGGTGAGTATATCTAAACTGCTTTTTTTTTCTTTGTATTGCTTTCTTGTTTTTTGTTGTTTTTGTGTTTTTTCTTCTGTAGGTTAAAGGAATTGACACATTGCTCTTTATCTTATCTGTGGTCCTAGGTTGGCCCGGTCTTTTCCTCAGTATGATCTCATTCCTGTTTTTCACCGACATGTGTATTTACTGGATTCACCGCTTCCTGCACCATAAGCTTATTTACAAGGTGTGTACAACTGTTTGGTTTGTTTTCTTTAAACTCAATAATGTCATTGTTGGTGCTGATTAGACCCAGAGCCATGAGGTACATGGTTTCCTTATGTAAACCACTGTTTACATAAGGACCACTGTGTACTCTAAAGATGCATACATGGTACATGCCAACTTTAACCATTCAACTTTACATCATGAAGTTATGTCTCACAGGAAATAACTTGTGACGTCACTGCAGGAGAGTAACCATTCGCAATACTTTGCACCTCAGCTTTTTGTAAAAGTTTTACACTGAACAACAAAAGCTCTATGGATGCTGGCATTTACTTGATTTGTTGCTGACAGTTTGTGAGAGAATGACTTCTCACAGACCATGACCCTCTTCAGTGCGATGGCCCTCACAGACTGATGAAGAGGAATTCATTTCCACCACACAGGCATGAACAGTGTCTAAAACCACAAACTCCCTTTTCTCCTCCATCCACTTTGGGATTTAATGCCACTTACACTTACATCACATAGAAGAACTAGATTCTGTTTTCTTTTTTTGGTTTTGTTTTTCCATTGGAATAAAAGCTAAATTAATAGCTCTATTAAGCTAGAGCATCTCCAAAATTAACCACTCCATGTCAAATGTAATGAAACTGTTAATCATCGTCTACGCAGAAGATTATTTCCAAAAACCCTCTGAGGGTAAAAAAAAAAGAATCACTTTAAACAAATGTGTTATTTTAGCTCATACATGCAAATACCGTAATGTTAAAAAAGAAATCCATATTGTTCTCCCAGCTCTACTTCACAGCATCACTTGACCATGTGTTTTGCTTTTGTTTTGATGGAGAGACTACTAAGAACAGAGATTTCACAACTGTGGTTAATAGTATAGATTTATGAAAGGTCTAAATCTTTATTTTGCCTCAGACTGATCTTCAATGTGATCGCTTTAAGTGGAGAACTACGTCCTCTTATGTATTATTTTTGCATTGTAGTCTAGATTTGAATTAGCAGAAATCCTAAAGAACATTCAGTGGACTTGAACATGAATATCAACTTGTCTTTGATTTTTGGAACTGAGAGAGACAAAGTGTTAGCTAACAAATGTCAGTATTTATCAGATCAACAGATATGTTTGCCCTCTTGTCCCAACAGATGTTTCACAAACCACACCACTTATGGAAGATCCCTACCCCCTTTGCCAGCCATGCTTTTCATCCAGTGGATGGCTTCATGCAGGGACTCCCATATCACATTTACCCCTTCCTTTTCCCCCTACACAAGGTGCTTTATTTAGCTCTTTACGTTTTCGTCAACATCTGGACCATCTCCATCCATGACGGCGACTATCGTGTTCCCAATTCACTGATGAGCGCCATCAATGGCTCAGCTCACCACACCGACCACCACCTGTTCTTTGACTATAACTATGGTCAGTACTTCACTTTATGGGACCGCCTGGGAGGCTCCTACAGGCACCCGTCAGCCCTGATGGGGAAAGGTCCCCTCGATCTGATCCGGAAGCTTGAAACCAAGGGAAAGTTGGGGGATGACGGAGTGAAAGCCAAACAAGCAAACATGCATCTGCTAAGAGAAGCCACACGTAAGGAGGAGTAACAGCTGGGGCTGTAAATGATATATTTTTGTCAGAGTTCGTTATTATGTTTGTATGGACAATGTGCTCAATACAGATGGAAATACTGTCAAGGAAAAATCTGTGGCTGGTTGATATTTCGTTCAAAGTATTAGATTTAGCTGATTGGTGTAATTAGATATAAGCTTTTAAATGGCTGTCGCTATCGTACAAAAACCATGCCAGCAGATCTGGGGCAGACTGCCTGCCATACAAAGCTGGCGTATTGTTTTACTAAGATAAGAGCTGTTTGGAAAGTCATGATGAGGACCAATAACAGGCCCTGGAGGGGGGGGATATGTAGCTGAAACAACACTTACCATACATGAGAGCATATCAGCAGAGTGACTCAAAATCTGTGTGAACCTGAAATGTACTCCTGGTGAAGCAGCTATGCTAACCGTGCACCAGCTGCCTTTTCTTAGCAGGGTTCACAGGATTAGATTTAATGCCCAGGTTTTTATGCCAAAGACATATGTCAGAGGTCACAGGCCTAGGGATCAAGGACAGTATCTGTAGTGTCATTGCTTCAAAGAACATCATGTATGTACTGTATGTATGTATCATGCTCTCTATTACAGATAGTCATTTTTTTCCAAAATCCATTTAGCTAAGTGTTGTGACACAAAGCTATGTTGTCTTGAAACTGCACAATGTTTTGTAAGAGAACGATTATATTAAACATTTGAGATGGTACTTTTTCAAATATGCGATAAAGGTTTGCTAATTTAATCCCCCAACACCCTTTCCTCCCTCGTCTGCATCCGATGTTGATTGAGTTTGTTTGCATTAGAAAACTAGCAGCTGTGCAACATTTCTACGGGGACCCCTAAACTTGCTCAATATTTTCGGTGAAAACGCAATTCAACATGGAAAGTTGCCAGACCAGCTCTCCTGAGATAAAAACAGTAGTAACTCACATAAGGGGGAACCACACACTAACCTAATAAACCATCTTCATGCAGCTAATATATAATGTTACCTGGATTTTTAGTTTAAAGTATTCAAACTAAATGAAGCAGACAGGAAAGAATCCGCGAGAGATCTGCCTTAAGATTGGTATTGGTTTGGATTCTGACATTGTCAACAGCGTGGATTTGCGTTTGTGCAGACACATATTCGCTTGCATTTTTTAGCATAGTTACAAGAAGAAACAAGGTACTTCAAAAAAATTTATTTTAGTATTCTTACAAAACTAAAAAAAAATGTGTTTGATAAATAGCCGTCTGAAACAAGTATATAGTACTTCTTCATACATAATAACCTAGAAATATCATTCTGTATGGCGTTTGGTTTTGATTACAGATTCCATAGTTGTTTTTTAATCTAATTTCTGACATTTTCTCTTGTTTTTATGTTTGGGAATGTCTAACTGTTCCCACAGACTTGCTTCAGATTAAACTGTTGTGTGATTAGTCTTTTAATTTAGTACAATGGACTTTGACCTAGCTCCTCCATCAGCTTCAGTACTCCAGGATGTTTGCCGTCCTTAGTGGTCCTTAATGGCTTCTTAGCAGATGTTCCCATCTTCTGTTATCCATCTGTGTATGATCATACCAGAGACTTCTCAAACTCTGATCTGGAAGCATTCATCTCTGCTTGAAGATCAGCAGCGGTCTTCCTCTATCTCTGCTCCTTCCAAACTTAAGGTGTGTGAAATCTGCATCGCTTAACTTTTGTATCCTGCCTCTTCTTTTTTTTTCTCAGCCTCTTTTTTGACTCACTCTATAATATAGACTCCAAAACCTACCACAATGGAAGCAAGCTGTTTCCCTTTCGTCTCAGTGACCATCCAGAATCGTGTGTTTTTATAACCAATTCTTTCATTTGCACTGAGCTCTTCATGTTTTACAATTTTGAACTAATTTGGATTTCTAACCCGATTCCCTCTTTCATCCCCAAGTTTCAAAGTCAGAAATGCATCAAGCAGAAAATATAACCCCTAAAACAAGTTTTTGTATATCACAGCAAATATATCAATTATGATTTGACATCTAAATCAATAAATAAATAATGATGTCCTCAACTATTTTCTTTTGAAAACAACGTATTTGAAAATACATTGATAACAATTGTATTACTGTACATGATATTTGACAATAAAAAATGTGATTGGCGCTAAAGAGCTAGTACTTAGTGATACCATTACAGAAACTACTAGTTATTTTGGTGACTATCAGTGCAGTTAATTTAGGGCAGCTGTGGTATGAATCTTACATTGGGTGGTTGTTTAATAAATTGGTCAAGAATTGTAAACATTTAGCATGCAAATAATAATTTGTAAAGCTTTACATCCTACTAAGGTTATGGAGTTTGTTCAGCAGCTTTTTTCAATAATTTCAGCCACATCACTTCACTTCCCCCCCAAACGTGGGGCTTAATCCTACATCATCCTTAATACTAACGTGCCAGCCACTGAGCCTGCATGTTAGATACATAAGCTGATCAACTGCTCATTTGGTTTTGTGGTAAAAAAAAAACAAAGGACATGACGACATTAACTATATCAGGTGATGATGGAGCTTTTCTCCACATGATGATTGGATTCCCAGCTTCCTCTTTACAGAGACACACAGACGGTGGGCAGTGTTGACAGTCATCTCAGCAGAAAAAGAAGGGCATCCATAGGAAGGATCTCATTGCAGTCCCTGCAGCCATGCCAGCCAGTAATCCCAGAGCAACACTCTCTGCAACTCCATCAAACGGGTCTCTTTGAACGATCAGCTGGTGGGTCCCTGAATAAAAGTACATAATGTTTGATAAGTTATAACATAGGAAGGGCTCAGATGTGGTGGACTGTGCTCTTATTATTCTCTTTCTGAACTAAGAGCATACTGCCAAAAACTTTTCAAACACCTTGTAAAGGTTACACATTATAATTTAAATGTAAGGTTTTAAATTTAAATAACGAGGAATATTGACTTATGAGACCATAAGCAAGACACCCAGAAAGTTATAGACAGATTCCAAAGCACTAAAGGACGTTGACTTTCTGTAATTAAGAAGTTATCTTTGAACTTCCTATGCTGTAAAATATTACACTAAGTAAATATGGACTGTCATAAATGTCTCTTATTACAGAGTGATTAAACTAAACAAAACAACCAGGTAATCACATTCACTCCAAGGGCCAATTAGTAAAATCACCAGTTGTGATCACCAGAAAATGTTTTTGTTGCAATCAATTAATATGCAACTGACTGGTTGACTCTGTCTACTTAATTTACACATTCTTATGTATTCCGAAATAGACATAATAACTTACTATGTTTGTAGAAGCTTGAAGCATAAATATAACATACCAGGTCCTGCTCCAGGAGTCATGTAGACAGTGTGATAGCTGTTAAGGGGGACGGCCTGGTAAAAGTCGTCATATGGGTCGTATGTGAACAACTAAAGCCGGAGAAAAAACATAGCTTTAGCCCATGAGTGTTAATATTTCTCTGCTTAGTTGTTACAGACTGCGCGAAGGACTCACCGGGTTTCTCCTGGTGTCTAGCAGAGTCAGTTTCCATGCTCTGAAAAACAGAAAAAGGAATGAGGAACAGAAAAAAAGTTGTACGGGACTACAGGACAGACTAGGTTGGAATATGAGTACGCACAGAGATTCGTCTTCACTGTTGGCACACAGATTTAGTGTTGAGTCCTGTCTTAGGTAAACCACGATGAGATTCTCTCTGGGATTACTCTCTGGTGGTGCCACACCTATAGCGACAGAGTACAATGTGTTTTATCCCCTACTTCATCCTTCTGCATTCACAAAGATGTCCTGAAATGGTCCTAATGACATTGTTTTCTAAACGGTAAAACATAGACCTTTATTTTCTTTTCTGGAGGTGTTTATATTTTCATAAGAGCACATAGACCTTCCAATTGCAGTGTATTTCATATAAGGCACTGATAATGGAAAAATGATCATCCGTTCCTTCAGCTTCAAAATCTCAAATCTTGCAAATCCCATTTCGGAATCACAACAACGATTTTACATTAAGGGAAACCATAATATCACAGTGACAATAACAGTGTGTGAAAACTTAAGTCCACATTCACTGCTTCTATTAATGGAATAAAGAGGGTCGTTAGCAACCAGGCGCTGCTTATCAAATGTACACATCATTGAGCGTGAGCAACTCTATAAAAGGAGGAAGCTTTGGTCTGTTCTGTAGCGTACAGTTGTTCTTCAACACAATGCCATGGCAATAGCTGCTGCCCATTCACAAACCTCAATTATCTGATTAAAAGTTGCAAAGAAGGCTTAAAATCTATCACAGGGATGTGAGAAACTGATAACATCAAACAGAGAATGATTAATACCTCAAAAGGTGTTTTCTAGGATCTGTTGATTAATTCCTTATTGCATAAGACTTGATAAGGACCTGGGGATTGTGGTTAATTGTACTGTTTATGTCCTTGAATCAAAGGAGCTGTACAGTGCTTTATACTTAATATATTTTCATTCCCATACTGTACCTCCACATTCAAGGCCTGAGCGCACGTCAATACATGCCATCTTGAGATTGATACGTTGTTCCAGCTCTCGTCTATTGTCACTCTTGTAGAAGCAAAGACTGCCATCCACCCAGAGATCACACCAGTTTAGCTTCCAGCGTTTCAGGACAGAGGCTTGAAAGGTGACACATTTAACAGAATTATAAAAGTGTTTTCGTTAAAGCTGCTGTGAAAATGTAATTGGACATTTAAAATGTTTAAGTCTGGAGCATTGATACTGAAGTAAAAATTGTGAGATTTCAATTAATGTTTCTTCTACAGTTTCATTTATTTGATATTTTTTTACTTTTGCTGGTTTTCATCAGCATGCAGATCCTCATCGGGGATCCTTGGTAAGCCACTTAGTGGACAAAGCTAAGGTCAATTAACAAGATTATAAATGACCATGGCTAGGGTTTCATAACAGGAAAAGTTTTTACTTTCCAGAACAGTCTCCCTGTTATAAAAACAAAGTCAATTTAGTCTCAAGATTTAATGATAAATGTAAGCTTAACATAAAATGAAAAAGTAAAAATCTAATTCTGTACTGTAGCATACTGTAAATTGAGAATGGACTGAGGTATCAACTCACAGATAACAGAATATCATCTGCATAGCAATAAATTTGAATCTCTCTATAAGAATTGGCTCACAAGTCTACTGTAAGTTAGGATTTAGCTTACTTTCCTTATATGGTTATGAACATTAGCTGGTGCCTGTCTGATGGAGTGGCTGTAATCTAACACAAAGCCTCCCTGTCACACATTTCTTTGAAAAATGTCACTGTTTTATTATCAATTAACTGACATTTGAATTACACGGTATCAGAACGCATATTATCTTGTGGTACATAACAGAAGATTTTAGTTGTTGGAAAAAGGCAGTTAGTTTACTTGGGTTGGTTTTTGTTTTTTAATTCTATTTGAATTTTATCTAGACATTCTATTGTCTAGTTTAAGTTTTTCCTTCAAAATTTATCCAGTGATTTTTCACTTATTGGACAACAAAGGAGAGGGTTAAAGTTTACTTGATTTAGGAGAGATAGGAAAGGCACAATAATAAAATCAGAAAAAGCATAAATATTGGGAGGAAGTTAAATTCTAACGTGCAGAAGATAACAAACTGTAAAAGCAGATGCTGTACTCTTTTACAGTTACCATAAGTTAAACCAAAAAATATTTACTCACTCTGTCTCCACAACCAGCCTGACCTGAGGAGCGCCATGTTTCTCATCTGCTGCCGTCTTGCTATTTAATATAAATATATGATCTTGTAGAAGCTAAAGAAATGGAAAGGTTTACTATTTAGGAGGTAACACAATGCAGAACCTGAATTTGGACTGTTTGTCTAAGTCTTTATATATTTTCTTGTGCCTCAGACAGTGAGGTGTTGGCAGATAAATCTGGTTCTCACGTGGATTGATTCTGACTCACAGGATCCTTCTGGATTAGGAGACCACGCCCTCTTATCCCATCATCCGCTCGCTGTTTCTGGACTGGTTTCTTGTCCTGACTATCACACCACATGCCATTTAGATACCTCTGCACTGGCTCATTGTCCTGACCACCACACCACATGCCATCTAGATACCTCAACACTTTTATGCTTGCTAACAAATTTCATGAGCTTCTGAGCGATTTCCGTTACTATAAACAGCATGTTTTTTAAATTAATCCCGAAACTGAGATGTCAACATGAGGATTAGCCAATTAGTCCCCAGGTCAGTTATGAGAGTCTGATGCACACTGACATAATTTATTTTTATAGCCGAGATAAATGTTTTTTAAATGTTTTTATTAGCTATATATTAACCCTACATTTATATAATTCATGCCAATGATAATGACTAATATAATAAATTATTTTAAGATTCTTAAAATGGAAAATAACACAAATAAGCAGAGGGCATATTCAACATTAGCATATAATATATCAAAAATAATTTTGTTATTGGTTTTAAGAAATAGATCCCCAGTTCTCTATCCCTTGGATGTGTGCTGCCTTTATGTTCCATTCGCTATCAAGATGATCCAACATTGCTACAGTAATGTTGAGGTGTGGGCTCTGGGAAGGATTCAGTCTTCTTTTTACACCTGCTGCCAGTTTATTTTTTAGTTCACTTATGGTTTCATTTGGCATAGCTCTCACTCTTTTCTTCTAATTTCTCTTCCTTAATAATGGTTTCCTGAAAGCACCACTTCAATGGAGACCGTTTCTTAGGGGCAGAGTATAATGAATTTTCACCGAAAGGCCATTTACAATATCAATCAAATACAATTTTGGGTTATGGAACCCTTCCAACAGTTTCAAACACAGAGAGACCCCAGTTCAAATGCAAGGTAAAACCAAGATCCATTATGCTACGAGATGATATCGGCCTTGTACGTCAGTATTTTCTTCTGCCGTTGTTTTAGGTTGTAACTGCACAAAGATACGATTTGTACTTGACAAAAAAAAGTAGATGACTGACGCGGTGTTCTTCATAAGTAAATTGCAGTCCACCAGAGCACACCATAAATGCAGGACTGCCCTCTGGTGGCAATGTATGGAAGACTTGTTTATATAATTTATTTAAACGCCACCATCATATTTCTGTTTCGCATTATTTTTTCGTCATATTAACAAATTATAATATTACTATATATTTTTTCCTGCATAGCAGTATTTAGCAATAGACTCGATAAGGAAGTCTAAATATAAAGCCTGGGCCATTTAAAGAACGTAACTTCCGGTAAAATGGGCGTGTCTTAAACTGTCAAACTAACTGAAGAATAACAAAAACAAACACAACACTGAAGGAGCTCCGGGGACAGTGAGTACCGAAGCCTCAACGTTTACCGTATCTCTCTAGTATATGAAATGTCGCTTTATATACGTATGTTACCAACAATTAGGGTCAGTAATATTTTGGTTATCTTTAGATTTACGAAGTTGGATGGTAAATTAGTTAAATTGTAAAAAAGGCATCCTGTTTGGAGGTTGGTTCTTTGCTGTTGTAATGTCTTCATGATCATTTGGACGCTATCCCTATGTCGATATGTAATATGTTGGTTTGAGGTTTTACCAGGAGCTACATTTAGCGAAAAAGGCCTCGAAAATAAGCAGGTCCTCAAACGACGCTTGTCGTTTGTAAATTGAGGTTTATTCAAAATTAGTCGGTATATATCTATGCAAGATTTTACATCAGGTCGCGCTAAGAAGCAACTGGTGTCTGGTGTCTTTTTGGGTAGTTTTAGTTCGATTTCGAATTCAGTGTTGACTTACATTTGAATCTGTTTCCGTAAAACAAAGATTCAAAGTCACTTGTTGTTCCTGCACCATACTGCTGAGAGCAGCAGAGAGCCGTTCCCAAAGCGAAGTTTCTTCTGGAAAATAAAGGAACGACTTCCATCGTTTTTTCACAAAGAAATTTAAATAAAGCTCTTTTTATTGGTACATTTTCATTGCAAAAGTACAGATGTTTAAAGGCGACATAGCCCAATAACCAGAGTCTTTGTATTTCACGGCCAATAAAGAGACTTGACAATTACCTTATTCTGAAAAATGTCCGTTTAATATTTGTGAGAGACAAAAGATGATGTCAGTTGACTGGCTTGTCCCAAGCCAACATCAACAATTGTTTCCTTGGTAGAATCAGGAACAAAGCTGTCACTTTACCTTTCTTTTGTCCGATCATTGCTGCTTCCCATGACATTTTATAGAGGCCTTTGTTATGGAGGCATTTATTATAGAGGGGTTTTCTCCTTTCTCTTCATATGTTCTAAGAATGGACCTTTTATAATGTGCATGTTTTAAAAAAGTGTTTTCATTGAATTTAGTTCTCCATCTCTCTCAGCAGGGTTGGAGGCATGCTATCTGATGTGCTGTTGAAAGTAATCATTCCTTTGGTCTGTGATACATCAGAGGTAAGAATCAGGGGGATATGTGTAATGAGAAACTATCTGTGACAGAAATATCAGACAGAGTCCGGATGCAACGCTCAGTCATCTGGCAAACAGCATTCAGGTGGCTGACTTTAACATGATCAGACTTCATTTGTCAGAAACTGATAGGAATGATTGAGGTTGAGAAGTGACACTCAGCTGGTGTGTTTGGGCAATGTCTACATTAATGAAAACAAAACCGTTCATGATGATTAAAAAGTATTATTTTTGGTGTAGGGAAACAATTCTGGAGAAGTCATAGATAATAGTAACCTCAAAGAAAACCAGCGGAGCCTTTAAATGTGTGTTGGTTGTGTCACTACTCTAATGAATCAACAATTGCAAGGTGAGTTTGATTAGAATCTTAGTTAAACTTATAGAAATATTTTTTTTAAATACCAAATCTAACTATTTTAATATATTTATTGATATAGCAAGAAATGCTTTTAGAGATTATTTTATTTAATCCCCAAGGTATATGATAAACATTTGCAATCGTTTATGCTCAGCTCCTGGCAGCAGCTGGATTCTATACAAAAACAAATGATTTCATTAAGAAAGATGCATGATTAGTAACCTAAAGTGGACCATAATACCAAAAATATCCACATGTTTCCATAAAATAACATCTTAGATCCATAACATTTATTGTTGACAATGAGCTTTATAGATCTGTTTCCTTGATTTTTGCCACTGTCGTTTAAACATTTAAACCCATGCTACTTCCTTTGCTGCCAAAACTGTCAGCCTTACAGTGTTTGGCAAATTATCAACACATTATATGTGGCATCGTAGCTATTGGATGATATTTTTCCTGGCCTTCAGTACATACCCAAAAATACCAGATATCTCTTTGAGATACTAAAAGATACTGAAGTTCACCCTGTGTAAGAGACATTCTCTGAATAGATCTGAGAGGAACAGGCATAAGTTTCATTGGTTTCAGCTAAGAATATGGTCTTATCAGCTATGTATTGCCTCATGTGCTGTGTGAGATTCTGTGATGTACCTACTTTTGGCATTTTATGGAAAAAAAACATCAATAGTTTATCAACAGTTATTTTGCTCCACCAGTTTTAATATTCTCCATGTTTTTCAACATAGAGAACACAAGTAAGGGATCAAGTTGTCCATCTTAGATATCAAAGCTATTTATTTTGTTGTCTCCTCAGTATCAACTATACCTACAGAAACCATACATCTTTGAAAATGGTCTCAAGATATTGAACTGCTATCATATGCTGCAGCTTTTTAAAATATTGTTATGGTTTTAAGATATGCCAGTTTCAAAATTGTAAACAAAAAAAGCATTATTTCTCTATTTCTCACAGAGTGGTTCTCTACTGCACAGAAATTCTTTAGAAAAAGAATATTTAAAACTGCCACTGTGGCCACAGTCATTAGCTCACAGGAATCATTTTGATTAAAAAAAAGTAGTGAATATAGCATTCAGACTTTTACTTTTTAAACTAGAGCCTTCCATCTGCCATATAGATTGCATTGAAAAGTTCTTAGCCTTACATTTTCTTCATACTTGTGCCATTTTACATTTATTCAAATATGTTTTTAGAGTTTTTAGAATTTTTTCCACGAGTTAATTCTCGCTGACGCTTTATCACTTCACCAAGCATTTTTTGTTTTCTGCTCAGCTCAAATCTTTCTTCTGTCTGTGTCTCTCAGTTTCACATTTACGATCAGTTTTCTGCTTTTAACTCTCTCTTTAACTGTCTCATTTTAATGTGTTATTTAGCTAATTGTTGATAGCTTTGAATATTTTTTTAATTTTCTTGAGCATGTTTATGTCCATTCATTCAGCAGATCAACCACTCTCACAACTGTTTTGCAGGAAAAGCTCTCTGTAGTTTTTCACTTGAGAGCGGCCGACAAAAATATCAGTGTGTGTTTTAGTTACATGATTTTTATTAATATTATATCACTATAACTATAGTTCTTTTCTTATTACTAATTAAAGAGCATATGGAGATGCAGGTCATATTGTGGTGAAAACTGGTGCCTATCAAAACTAGTTTATCTGGTACCACTGCTATTGCTTTACATTACCATTTAAATGGTACATGGTACAATACATGTGTACAGATATTGTGTGTACAGTTTTTACTTTTGTGGGTTGAAAAGTCACCACCAGTTTTTTTCGGAAAAGATTCTTCCGATGAAAATTCCACATTCACCTCTGGCCAGAAACTCATCAAAAAGACCATGGAAGATAATTAAAATATCAGCACACAAACTATCACAAAAGGAAAATGTGTTAATATTCCTAAAGAAAGTAACTACATAATCACCTCGTACTCCATTAGGGGTTTAAGAAAATAATACAGGCCACTGATGAACTTTTTTATGGCAGATACAATGTTGGATGTCTGGTACCAGTTTAATTATCAGATTGGCTAAATGTTAAACTCTGTGCAAATGTGTGTCTTCCAGAAGACCAGAGATACTGTTTTAGAATCCTCAGTGAAAACGTTTGAGTTGTCTAATGCAACTCCAGCAATGAAGTTTGACCCTGATCCCCCAAAATGTCTTAATCCCTCCGAGACTTGAACACCAATTAATGGGAAAAACAAAACTGTAGCTTCTGTAGGCCTCACTGGTTTAGAGCCCCAGTGTTTAGAGGCCACCGAGTGGGGAGTGGCTGACAAGTTCCTTCGTTATCATTAACACAGCTGCTGTAGATTATTTTTAGTTTATCCCATGTCAAAGCTTGAGTTGTGAATCCTCAACAGTATGAAAAATGTGCAGCCCTAAGCATGAAAAGTGTGCCCTGTTTTAAGGACTATTTTACAAAACACAAAACCCTGCTCCTTCAGGATTCAGGAAGCAGCTGACCTTAAAAATAAACAAAAGCATGTATTTTTTTTAATGTAAGATTAAGACAAATACAAGTCAGGTTTGGTTTTTGGGGGATAGCAGCAGAACATGTCTTTATTGTGATGCTTGAAAGTAATTTTGGTCCTCTCTCTATTTTCCCTGGATCCCTGCTCAGTAGTGGAACCATGGAGTTGTCCTCTGATGAAGAGGAGGTTCGCACATTCATCAAAGTCATCAGTGAGAAATACAACCCAGAGAACTTTCCCTATGGCCAAGGAGTTGTGGTTATGCCCAGCCCCCCAGGATCCCCTATTAAAGGTGAGGCATGGTTTCAGAGCGAGTCCTCCCCTGGACATCCGAACCTCCAACATTCGGAGTTTACATAAGACCAACTTATGAGGTTTTCATTTTTTACAGACCGCCTCTTCTTACCCAGCGCACTGGTTCTTAGCGATTGTGGAATCAGTAAAGCTGGTGACAGGTCAACTATAGCAGCCTTCTGTGCCCATGTGTTAGAGCTGGATCTGTCCTTCAATCAGCTCAGAGACTGGGGAGAGGTGGGTGTCTTTCACTTGAATAATGTTTGGGTGACACGTGTCAGATGTACTATGATGAGTTGCCTTTATATTCCTTCTCTTACAGTTCTGTGGGATGGCTAACTTCTGTAATTCATTTGATGAATTTCTGTTATATTTTACCTATTTTATTTCCATGTCAATACATACAGGAGACAGTGCTTCCCTACAAACGAACATTTCCATAAATTCTTTTGTCTCAACTTTATAACCCAAAGAAGGAGGCGAAGACTACAAATATCAATGACTTCTGTTTCTAATTTATTAATTGATAGGTTTGTGTTCTTTGTATTTCATCAGTTTGTGGTCATTCTAATAGTGTTATGATTGTCCAGATTAGCACAATTGTGTCCCACATCCCACATCTGGACTTCCTCAACCTAAGCATGAACCCGCTGAGTGGTGTGGAGCTGGAGCCCAGCATGGCTTATGTTTTCTCCAGAGTCCAGCGACTCGTCCTCATCAACACACAAGTCAGCTGGGACACTGTGCACACACTCACGCAAAATACACCCGAGTAAGTGATGGTTGGTGTTGTTAGAAAGACAGCATCCAGATTACATCAGTATATACAGTTTTTTTCTGCAGCTTTTTCCCAAATAAACTCAGCTTTCAGTTTGGGATCAGATGTGAATTTGCTCTATTTGTTCTTTACCTATTTGATCAAATGTAGCTACACTTCAGCTCCTCTTTGGCTTAATTTCCAGGCTGAAGGAGCTTTTCTTATGCCTGAATGGATACAACACTGTGTCAGAATCCCAGACGACCTGTCCGTCACTACGCCTGCTGCAGATCACAGACAACCAGCTGCAGGACTGGGCAGAAGTGAGGAAGTTTGGGCTCCTGTACCCCAGTCTGAGCACACTGGTGCTGGCAAATAACAGTGTGGACTCTGTGGAAGACACCAAAGAAACACTGGAGTGTCTGTTCCCCAGTCTGCGCAGCATCAACCTCAACAACTCAGGTCAGATTGCCTGATTTTTACCTGGTGTGTTATATATTTTCTCTCTGCTTCAAACATGTTTTTGTATCCCTAAAACCTATTTTAATTTTATTTAGGGCTAAGCAAATGGGAGGACATTGAAAGGCTGAATTTCTTTCCTAAGCTGGAAGAAGTCAAAGCAAAAGGGATTCCCTTACTGCAGTCCTACAACACTCAGGACAGGCGTAGCCTCCTTTTAGCGCAGTAATTCACACTGGGTACCATTATATTCTTCTACACCCGGCAATGCACACACCAGATAAATATATTAGACTTCTGCATCTCTATGTAGGCTGCCATCTGTAATGGTGTTGAATGGAAGTACAGTGTCTCCTGGAGAAAGAGAGGATGCTGAGAGGTTCTTCATCAGACATTATCAGCACTGTCCAGAACAGGAGCTTCCTCAGAGGTAATTACACACGCATGCATTTCGTCCTTTTCTGCTTTGGCCATTCCTACTCTAAAGTTTCCAAATAGATAAAAAAAGAGATGCCGGATATTTCCTTTTACCAGAGTGTACAATGACTAAAGAGAAAGTGTGCTCTCACAGCCATTTATGACCAAAGTACTTTGATGAATTTTAGCATCTTTTAATCTGCTGCTTTGAGGTTGTTTATCATAGTTTCCATTAGAAGATTGGATAGAGTGATTTTAGGTGGTTTATGCCACATTAGTCAGAAAAATATGAAGATGTTGCACCAGCTGTGAACACCTGCTCCCACTTTAAGGACTCTCCCTTTTCTGAGCACCTGTTACTTTCTTACAGCAGTAACAACCCCAATTTTGGCCTTATTCGGTTTACAGCATGTGAGATCATGTTTGGAGGCTCATCACAGCAGTAGAGTAATTATGTATGTACTATACCAACTGCATTCCACATAACCCCAGCAGAATGTTGAGCAAGGTGTAGTCCCTGACTGGGTGAACTAACCTTTGGGAGACAATGCCACCACTCTCTTTCTGCTCAATGAGCCTTTTGTGCTGGGAATTCTCTGATTGGAAAACTGATACACCAGGTAGCAGGTGACTTTTTTTCCTTTCATGTATACACAGACATTGTCAACCTCAAACATTAAGTTGACAGATTGATTTGCTCTCTTGGTCGAAGGCCTTTTCACGTGTCTTTAATTTGTGGTGTTAGGATTTGGTTCCATCATGTCCATGAGCCATATGAACAATTTCATTTTTTTTTCTCTTCCATACCTACATGTGTTTGTGTTCACGATCTAAGGTTAGAGACTGTCATGGCTGAATGTGGTTAATTTTGGGGTGGTTTCAGACATGATCAGTTTCCTGAGAACACACAGCTATCCCATTTTCTTTCGGATGGGGCTGTGGCCTTCTACTCCAAGGGATCAGAGCCCCACAAGATGGGTCACAGCCTCTCAAGTGAACACTATAAACTAAATACATCTAACACAGGCTGGCTTTGAATAAATTCAGTCTTTCAGTCTTTCAATCAGGCTGATGGAAAACTGAAGAAACTTCCCTTTACCAGTAGAAGGAGAGAAATAAATTAGATTTGATCAAGTACACAGAACAATAGAGAAAGAACATTTTGGCTGGATAGAAAGTATTGCTTTAAAAAAAACAACACCTGAAAGCAGCATGGAAGGTCAGAATGGTGGGCTGAACACTGAGCCAGTCTGGAAGTGGGGTAATCAGCTATCAAACAGAGGACTTGAGAAGTGAGAGAAAGCTGAGATAAACCATCAGAATAGTACTCTGAAAAGATCTGGACTAGATTGTGCCTGCATCAGCCGTTTTTTGTGCTGCTCCTTTCTTTTGAACTATTGTAGAATGATGAAGACAATTTGAGTGCTTATGTGTTATAACCTCAGCATTATTTGACTCCCTATACTACACTTACCACTTCAAATGAACCCTCTTGTTGTGGTTAAATGCTGTCTCTTAGAATGGCACTTTTTCTCCTAAGTGGAGAATTCCCACTGTGGATCACAGGATTTGGCCAGAAATCTCCTGGCTTTGTGGAACCAGTTTTGGGGAGGGAAGTGAAATAGCTTTGATTGGCCCAGCTGTTACAGTAGCCCTGAAGGAAAGTCTTTTTCTCCAGGATTTTATTTAATCGTTCTTGGGTTCTTATCTCAAACATGCATTCCCCTGAGATGACTGAGTAACTTTCTCACGGCTAGCGAGGGGCAGATAGCCCAGTATTTCTCTACTTCTGTAACACACACAAAGAAAGGTTCCACTCGCCTTTTCTTTGAATTATTTGTAATTTGCTGATGAAGAAAACTCTCTTAGTGGATCAAAAAGATCGTACTTTACATGTTGATGTGTCACCCTGTGTAAGCAGGACAACTGGTCAGAAAGCTACATGCTACATGTAAGTATAAGGAAAATATATTGTCTGTGTGGAGAATTCTCTGTTTTTATTTTTATTAGAACTTGTCAAAATATACAGTAGACATAATGCCAAACTATAGTTATATATACATATATGTGTATATATATATATATATATATATTGGGGTAATAAAGATACAGATATATATGTAGTTGTCAAACCATGATATGGTATCTGTTTCTTTATCCAGGTATCATGCCCTTGTATCCAAGTATGGTAAACTGGCTCCTCTGGCAGAGGTGGACCTTAGCCCTCGCTGCACTGTGGTGGACGTTCGCTGGGGTGAAAGGGTGGAGGCAGTCAGCCTCCGCCTAGAGCAGACAGTGGGCGAGCTAAAGAAGCATCTAAAGGCTCTGCTGCAGCTGCCCTCCAAAGGGATCAGGCTTTTCTACATCAACCGTGAGATGTGTTCAGTGTTTGGACCTGAGGAGCTGAAGTGCAGTTTCCGAGCTCTTCATTCTTACAGTATTCGAGATGGGGACGAGATTCTAGTGATGCCCAAAGTGAAAAGCCGCTGCAGCTCTTCTGGTATTTAAGCCAGGAATTTTTGTTGGTTGGATCAGTGAAACTTGAGGAATTTGAGATGTTCAAAATGGGATAGTAAGCTTTACCTTGAGTCTTTTGAAAAGGAGAAAAGAAAAAAAATATTGTTCAGCCATGAATGTAAGAAAGTATTGATCTCAGTGTATAAGAACTGTGAAACAGTAGAGCTGCACAATTACATTTCATTTCAGATATTTTTGAAAAAACTTTACTGGCAAAGTTTTTTTTTCTTTACAGCTATTTGTTTTCACAAGTATTTAAGCCATTTACCTTGTCACTTCCTGTTTTACACGCATAAAAGCAAGTTACCATTTTGCTGTTGCTGACAGAAATGGACTTTTAAGTAAAAATATCTCAAACATATATATTAAATTGAGTTTGTTTTATAGATTTTTTTAAAAAGTACCACATGTGACAATTAAACCATAGAATATAAATGAAAAAAACAAAGAGTCCCCAGGAGAAAAAAAAAAGTGGACTTGTCTAATGTCAAAATTAAAAATGTAATAAATACTTACTAAAAGTTGAAGTTGAAACTTCTGCTTGGTTTCAAGTGTAACAAACACATTCATTTCTTCTTCCATTTAGTAACTTGAGTGTGAACTGTACATTTTCACGCTCAAGGTTTAGATAACATTACAGCTTACACAGAAAACAAAAAATATTTAAATACGGCATATGTAGGGATTTTCCACTAGTACCTACTCAGCACGGCTTGTTTCGACTCCTCACAGTTTGAATTTTACCACATACTTAGCCAGGGTTCCAAGCGAGCTGAGTCTAGCATAGAGCACTGCCGGTCACTGAGAGGCCGGGGGCATCGCCTGAATGGATGAGAACGAGATCGTTCACAAGAATCCCATCATTTTAAAGACATGGCAACTACAAAAATTCTGTTTGTTTTTTTGCTGTGATCATCAACATGCCACAGACCAAGACCCCAGATTGTTACCAAAATATCCTTCATTGTTGTCTCCTGTTTGTGTCATATACAAATGACATCACAGGCTGGTTGGCCCATCTTCGTGTTAGGAACTAAGTAATTGAAAATCACTTAAATCAAGTCATGGGTTGCAGCTGCAGATTCTAGGGCTGTGTAGGTGCTCATAGAGAAGCCCCAATACTCCCATATGAGAATGCACTCTGCACTTCTGCCAAGCGGATGCACAAATTGCACTCTAATTTTTTAGGTTTCTAAGGTTTTCTTGAGAGCAGATCCAGTACTGAAGGTTTTGAAAACCTTCCTCCGTTTTGCAGGTGATTTGAGTGCGGAAAATAAAGAAATAGAAATTGGTTGACGAAAAAGAACTGATAAAGAACTTGCGATCGGAATTCCCCAGTGCTGATTATATAGGCCGTAGTTTCCGTTATGTTTGTCTAGCGATGCATAGACCAGCTTCCGTGCTGAATATTCTGATATGTTTTCCCTCTGTTTGCCCTTTTCATTTGAGCCAGAATTTAACAAATCAGTACATTTTTGGGTGTGTTTATGCATATAGTTGCTTTGATATAGAAAAAGGAATTCACAATTTACCTTACCTCTACATTTTATAAAGACTGTCTCATAAATGCTTTATTTTTCTACATGTTTTACACAGCATGTTTGATTATGGGAATTCTCCCTTTATCCTCTCTGAGTACACTAGTAACAAATCCTTTTCCTAATTCTTCTTGTTGACAGATGATACATGCCTCCAGTTAGATATCCTGTGTTAACCACCGAGCTGATGCATAAGTACCATGAGTTTGGGGCAACACAGAGCACATGGCTTCTGCCTTGTCGAGAAGCCCCGGAGGAAAGATGAGACAAGTCTGTGGCAAAGAGGGTAGTTTGGGTCTGGGACAGAAAAGGAGTTGGGCTGTCACTTGAGTTGCCGTAGGTCCTCTGGCTGTCGCGCCCATGAATGGAGCAACTATCCGTTCTCACAGAGGCAGCTGAGAAGCATTGAGACCCCGTCCGTATGGTAACCGTAAACCAGGTGCTGTTTCATGGAGACTTCCGCTGCCTTTAAGTTAGAATGAGTTCACCCATTCATCTCAGTCTCCCCTTTACATCAATCCCAGAGACCTGACTCTTTAGGAGAGGACCAGTCCGACCGTTCACATGGGCGGTGACTTTTCTCTTTTAGGAAATTACAAAACTAAATTCTCACCGGATTGTTGTTAAGGTGTGATTGTTTCTTGACGGCCGGAATCAGAGACATTTGTGTCACCTGCCAAATAACAGATTGTTCTTTTATTACAGTTTGGCTATTTAAGGTATACTTGAGTGGAAATAATCTGTACATGTTGGTCCTTTCATGTTGAATGATGTGCCTCTTCTTTATGGTTGTGTTTTACTTTTCCCCACCTTCTGCAGTTTTCTGGTTCATCTTCCAGTTTCTGTATAATAGTTTCAGGAACTTAATAATCACTTCTTTGAGTAGTAATGACACAAGAATTGAATGAATTGAATAAAAAAAATGGAAAAGATACTGATACCTGTTGTCAGATATCCATTGTCAGATACTGACACAAACCATTGTTTTTGTGTTCATAAATGTAGAAACATGCAAATCTACTTTTCTCCATTCTTCCTCAAACTCACCTACATAGCAGTAATGTGCATTTATGCACTGACCCTCATTTGGTTCTTTGTGTGGCAGAACTCTACAACTGACTTACCAATAATTTAAAATGGAGCTAACTGTGTGTGTGGGAAATCAGGGGATGAACCTAGAACCTTTTGCAATGAACACTGGTCTGCACGGTCAGTATTGTTATTTTGATGTTTAATTGTGTGTGATGTGCTTCACTTCAGGGAAAACGATGTGTTTGTGGGCATTTGTATCTTTGAATATTTGTTTAATATTAAATAGTCACCTTGCAGCAAATACAGGGTTGATTCTAAGGATTTAAAGGTTTTTAAAAAGTTTTAAAAAAAGATCCACAATGCAGTTTGTCTTGGGTTGTATAGAATATGGTGCATAACTTCTGTTGCATTGGCTTTCAAGTTTTTCTTTTATTTGTTTATTCTTTTTCTTTTTTGCTTTGTGTGGATCCTGACACCTTAAATTCTTTCCTCTTATGAGATGATGCTGTTTCCTTACCTGTACTGTATAATAGTGCTTTAATTTCTTGAAAAGAAATAAAATCTAGTAATCACAGTCCGTTTCCAGTGTTTCACTTTAATGAATTGAATAGCAAAAAAAGGAAAAGATGCTATATAATGATATTCATATAATCATCATATGAGCTGTTTGTTATGAAGCCAAATGTCAAGGAAGCTTTTCCATCCTCAATGTGAGTTTTAGTAAATTATTTGATCTTTATTAAGATGGAGTTTCCCCAAAATGTTACATTTATATTGCATATGTTACTACTTAATAACATTTTAGACAAGTTCCTTGTAAATAAAACTAGCCTATGTGGCTTGAGCAAGATATTTTTCAAATAATTCTTCAAAAGTTCTGTTGGTACAACATCTGACGTCCAAACGGACACATATTTGTATAGAATTATTATTGCTACTGTGTGGCTCTCATATTAAACTGTAACATTACATGTTCATTTAATCATCCATCTTTGTTTAAACAGCCTTCACATATCATAAACAAAAGAATGGGAAGGAAAGTTTAGGGACTTGCTTACATCACAAGTTAGCCAGCCATTGAGTTCGGAATCTTATTATCAAAGTGTTTGATTACACAATATCCAGATCATTTCAGCTTCTCAAAAGAAAGACAAGGTATGAGTGGAACATCACTCGTGTTACAGGCAGAATGTGCAAGTGATCAACATGCATCGCTCTGTTTCACAGGCTGAATGCTTGGCTTGGATGAAGATGTAATTCTGCAGCCCTACTGTAGCTGGCAGGAATTGTTGCAGTTGAGCTGCAGAGTCCATTCCATATGTGTCAGGCGGTGTTGTGTTTCTGGGGCATTCCCTCTACTCTCCCCACTTTCTCCACACATTTTGCTCTAATCCTGTGTTGGATACCAATCACTCAGCCCTTAACAAATTTCACTGTCAGGAATCCTTTCTATCCAGGTGTGCGGTGCCATCAAGGCACTTATTTAGGTATTTGCGTACCTTCTAAGCATCCCCATAACTAAATTCAGACACTGGTTTGTCTATACATAACATCTTTAGATAAAAAATGTTTCTTAAATTACTTTTTTAATGGAAGTTTTTTTTGGTCTGATTAAATTTGGCAGCTGCGATAACCCCCAAGTTCCCAAACATTTAGCGACACCATGGGGTTCACACATTAGTTAAAGTGAAATGTCATGACATTTATTTAATGGGTTGGGCTGACATTCAATACATACATCCATTCATTGGAAAGGATAAATGCTTTAGACTTAAGTCTTAACTGGTAATCTAGCTTCAACAAGCAAGTTAAAAAAAATGCTTATCCTGTGAAACATCTTTGAACACTTAATAGGTGAATCAGGACTTACTCTCCTTTAAAAATTCAGGAAAACCCAAAAATAGAGGCCTCTTACTTTGATTATCCAATTCCTTTAGTGTTTAAAAATGATTGTCATATCAACTTTTGATCAAAATGTCCACGTTATCTACAAAGATGATCATAATGGCTCCATTTCCTCCTTGAGATTTTAGTCTTCCACAGGGTATCACGACAGGCTCTATATATCAGATGAGAAGAATCATCACACAGATTGAAAAAAGGATGCAGATCATTTCAATTTTAGACTGCAAACATAATAAACTTATTATAAATGGATGAATATTATCCACTCTAACTTCACATTCTGTCTTTAAATGTCTACAATTAGCTCATTACCCTACTACATGAGTACTTCTATGATGGTTTTACTCCGCCATTCTTTGAACCTAAGAGCTCTACATGAGAATATTCCCGATAGACACTGAATTCTCATGTGAAATTAGATATTGATGCATGTGTGCTATTTCCTAACCACTCAGACACTAGAAAGCTTTTTTAAAAGTTCCTCCAGTTCTGTATAGAATTGTGTTGTGGAAATGGCTAATTTCACAATTGATAAACTGTTCCACAAGTGAGGAAATAGGCTGGCTTGTTTGTTTGTTGGGAGATGGATGTAGTTGCATTACAGAAACCGGCCTTTGCACCTTGCTGTGTAAACAGAACCTGGCTATGCAGTTGGTCTTCCAAAGAACTGCCCTATGGTATTATGAAGTGAGACTAAGGGCAAGGGCGGCTGAACAGGGCCCATTGTGTGCTGAGATGAAGGAGTCATTGGGGTAAGGAGGTTTAGGTTACGAGAAGGAGCTTTACCATTGTGAATAGTAAGGAAGGAGAAAAGAGCAAGGCAGGGCCAACTACTGGGCATAAGAAACTGAATTAAAGTGACCCACAGATTAAATAAACTGCTGAACAGAGCAGTAAATATCCAGTCTACAACCTTTTTTGGAAAGGTGAGGCTTGGTTTATTCTACAGATGGTGTGATGCTGGATACTTTGCTCCCACACAATATGACCTTGCTGCCTAAACAACACTTGTGTGTGAAAAATAATTTCCATTTCTTAATATAAATCCTTAACTCATTGGTGTTCTTGGTTACTACATGGGAGGATAATGTTAGTAAGGACATGAAATGCAACACCATCAATCTTCATACTTTCTTCACACTTTTTATTTTTGACTTCCTCTCATCTTTATATTCAACATTCCCTTCGTAATGTGCATTTTTTCGTCTCCATTTGATTTTTCTTGCTTGGACATGTTTATCTTCTGTGTCAATTTTCCCCACAATTCAACCCAAAGAAGAAGATTTTGAGTAGTGATATTATATTTGCATCAAGGCCAAACCTTTTTACTTTAATCTAATTACTGATCTTGTAATAAAAAAGTTTTAAGAAACATTGGGAATTTTGAAATAACCCCAAAATTACTTTGTTTTATCTGTTTTAACGTTGAAACGGTTGTAAACTGTGGCGACCAATTCAGGTACCCTGACTTTCATCAAATGGATATTGGAACTAAATCCAGAACTTTTGTAAACACTAAAATGGGTTAAGCAGGATTAAGCAAATGGATAATGTATCTTTGTTAAGAAAACTAAACTATAGCAACACTGAAAGCACATGCTGCGAAGGAGAGTGAAATTGTACTCAATCACACCATAGGTAGTCAATACAGTTGTAAAGAATGTCAATTTAACAAGGCAGATTTGACATAGGAGAGAGTTTTATTATCAGTCTTTATTCAAACCTCCAAAGAGATGTGATTTAAGGCTTTGATATGATATTTTAAGAAATATCAAATGGTTTTCTGAACAGTTTTCGCTTTTGTGTGAAATTCTATTTCACACTTTGATTAAGATACTTAACTGTTGAGAGTATGTGTGCTTTTACATTGCAAGACGTGGGAGGTATAATAGCATCCTCCACAGAGTCTTAGTGCTGGGACCTTGAGCCTGAACTCAGTCCTGGAGCCTTTCTCACATCTTGCTCCTTGATTCTCCAATTACTTCCACTGTCCTCCTGCAACAAAGACCCAACTGACTCCCCTCTCCTTCCCAGACCATATCAGTGTGGATCCACCTGAGATTTCCCTATCTCTCTAGCATCTATGGAAATTAAGTGTCTTGTATAACCTTGTAAATGAGGCTGTACCTAATTAAGAAAGGAGGCACTCAGTTTCCAACGTGATTCATGTTAATGCTGTAACTCTACCCACCACAGTGCTCAGAAAACAAGATTTCAGACAGTGTGTGTGTGCATGTGTGTGTTCTTGGGTTTTGTCCATAAATGTCCCCAGAGTGAGACTGCTGCTTGGTGCCCTGAGCTTTTATTGTACCTTAAGTGAAATTGTGCAAAGGCTATACCAAAACTTTATCTGAATCAAATGCCTTCATTTACAAGTGGTGCCTTTGCCACTTATATGACTTACTCTAATATGCATGTTCCAACAATTAACATCCAACATACAGTAATTTAGCAACACTTGTTGAGTTAAGCTAATATTTCAACCGCTGCTTGAGAAGGCGAGTGAACTATTTAACAGGAGTATTTCAATGTCATCATTCCAAAATGATAAGAGGCTCAGTGTTTCCTAAAAAATTCAACACCACAGACATATTTTCTCAGCATTTGGCACTTTGGTGGCTGTAATGACAGATCCTGCCAAAAAGGCTTGCATTCCTCCCCTATGAGAGCCCTTCTTTGTGCAAAACATTGTTTTTCTCCCTCATTTAAAACATATTTTCTATTTCCTTTTTATCATTTTAAAAACGATGACTTCCCCTTTACCTTTATGACACTTTGCTCTGTTTCCACTCCCTCTCTTCCTCAGATTCCTGTCCCTCCCCCTCTACTCCCCTTGCCTCCCCACCATCCCCTTTCCCCCTAACCCTGATCTTAGATTAAGTTGAACACTGTTCCTGTGAAAGTTTTCACCTGCTTCTTTGAGGCAAAGCTCCCCCTAACTCCTATAGAAGCAAATGTATTACTCAAAACTAAACTAAACAACACAAAACTCAGGATTTCTGTTGCTTCTTCTGGTATTCCTGTGGGTATCAATTAGTTCAGTCATAACATCCAGCTGCTCTCCAAAGCCCTACCACTAACTCCATCACTGCCATCACTCTGTGGATGGTCCTCAGCTGGATGGGACGCTGCTGTGTTGGAATTATAAGGTTAGACTTGTGAAGTGCTAGAGGTTTAGGTTCTGAAGGCAGGTAAGTCCATCATTTCCCTTTTTTTTAACCTATGTGGGGTACAGTAGTAAAGACATCAGCTGCATGTTTTAAAGTAGTGAAGAAACAATAAGTCTGCATAAATATATTATATTAATTATTATTCATGTAATATTAATAGTAATATCAATCAGTCTTAAACTTCTCAACCTATTTCACATATCACTGTATATTGTTATATGCCTGCTTTTGATGTCAAGTATATTTTGGTGATGACAAAAATTCTGACTGACACAACAAATGTCATTAAAAATAGCGCTAACTCTCTTTCTCTGAATGACCACAAAGATAAACAGTTTTTAGTGTCCTGTTCAGGTTTTTATTTAAATGCCTGCCATAAAATCCAATAAAAGGATTTCGTGCAGATAAGATAAGATGGTGATCTACTGGAGCCAAAGGAGCAATTGTGGTAATCTCCATGTTGACAATGAATGATGAGAGGCTGATGACATAGTAGCAGAGCTCTATCAGCAGTGCCCATTAACCTTGGCACACCTGAGCATAATTTAACAGCCGCTTGAATAGAATTCACAAACCAGAAAGTGGCAAAGATTTGAGAGAGGTATTCAACTGATCTCACATTTTGAGTGCATCATCAGAAACACACTGAAGGTATCATCTAAGGGACAGTAAGTGGCTGTGGGTGTAGACTCGGATTTTAAATTTATGCCAAAGCTCAAGCTTTCCGAAATGAATATGTTTGGTGGACATATTTGAGGACTAAAACCCATTTGATCATGGGCTTTTCAGCAATTGAGTTGACCAGGGTGGAGGGATCCAGATACTTGGAGCATAATGATTTATTAGGAAAAATGTACTTAGCCCTTCACAACTGAATTTGAGATTTTTTCGTTTGGTGTGTTAAACTAGAGGTATTTTGAAGCCAGCTTCTTTGTTGTTGTTGCACCTAACGCTTGATAGCGTTTTCCAATCTGTGGATGTATCACATCCATTAAACTAAGCAACACATTTAAAAATAGGATTTGCTTATGTTAACCAAATATGTTTGAGGGTTATGCTTCACTGAAAACACATTGAATACCCTGTGGAGTTTAACTTCAGATCATCGGACAATCAAAGTCTAAGCTAAAGATGTGTTGACAGCAGAATCTGCCAACTTGGCAGTGTATGCAACTTGCCAAGCTTGCCAAGTCACCAGTCATAATGGGTCACTGCTGGGACAAAGGCAAATGAAACCTTCTAACTGAAGGCCATTAGTGCCCCAGAATTTAGGCTTCTGTTCTTTTAGCCAAAAAACATGGATGGGTCCCAAACAGAAGAGGTAATGAGGTAGCGATCAGCCTCATGGCTTCAGGCACCAAGAGACCAGAGCAGAGCAGACCAGTCCGATCAGCTGTAGAAAACTGAAGCACAGACAGGCATGTAGTGCAGCATTGCCAGCTCAAATGGGACTGAAGGCAAATGTGATCCTGATACATTGTTCCAACATGCATAATGGGGCTTTTCAAGGATACTCGAGGGAGACCTGGGAGCCTGATCTTAAAGAAGGAACATGGTGCTGGTTGGATAGTTCTCCCTCCTCTCTCCTTTGTTTAACAGTCTGGTTTATGAGAAGTTGTCCAATGACTCACATCTTCCGGTATTTGCATCAGCTTTAAGGTAAATTCAACACAGATTAAGTAACATGATTTCAATATAATCTCTCTCTTCATCTCTTTTTCTTTAGAATGGTAAGACCATGCTGTCCAATCTTTCTACTCCATCTCTTCGGCATCTTTGCACAGAAAGGAGGTACTAAGACTCCCCAAATCCAGACACTTATCCTGGCAAGAATTATACATTCATTAAGCTCCACTTGTTTATCCCTCTTTTAGTTAGCACCAAGGATGTCCTGTATCCATATGGGCCCAGTCACAGGGATCTAGAGACACCAAAGATGGATGATGGGAGTTCTCCTGAAATCATTTTGCTTATTCCCTTTATTTTCTTTAATGTGCCCTACCGTTCGATTTATGTAAGCTTTTTTACTCCATCATCATCTTAATTTTAAACTGGTGTGATACATAAAGTTTTATAATTAGTGAAGCTTAAACTCAACCTTCACCATTTTCTGTGCACAGGTAAACAATAATGGTGTGATCTCCTTCAATGTTCAAGTTAGCCAGTTCACCCCAGAAGCCTTTCCTCTAAGTGACAGCAGGTCCTTCATTGCTCCACTTTGGGCGGATGTGCACAATGGCATTCGTGGAGATGTGTATTACAGGGAGACAACTGAGCCAGAAATACTGGAAAGGACAACACGAGATGTCCGAAAGCATTTCAAAAACATGCCTGCTTTCACAGCTACTTGGACTTTTATTGCAACATGGCATCAAGTCACATTCTATGGAGGAAGTCAGACTACCCCGGTACTGTTAAAACTCTCTCGGTTACATATTTTGGTAATTCATTTGTGCATATGAGCATTCTGTGGAGTGGAATAGGGACATTTATTTAAAGTTATCAAAACCCTGAGGACCTTAGGTAAGGCGATTTTGGGTCTTAATTTGTAAAGAATCACTGTAATAGTGGCCGAAGTAAATATATGTAACCAATCAGTTGTCATGTAGTAATAGTGTTGCAACTCTGATGATGATCAGTGTAAATGTGAAATCAGACAGCATAAAGGAAAAAGAAAGTGTTCAAAATCATAACAAAAAAATAAGTTCACAAATATGTTTTGTGTCATATTTACAATTTCACCAGATGCATAGAAAATAGGTTTCATTGGGAACAAATATTCTGTCATGTTTCAGAAAACTATTTTTGAATGTTGTTTTGAAATTAGTCCTAGGTCCAAAAAGACTAATGCAGTCTATTATGTGACAGTTTTTAATAAAAAAAACATTATGCCCTAATGTTTTAAATCATTAAATGTATCTTTTCTTCTTGTTTGTCTTCTGAAAAAATGTGATTGTTTGATTAACAGGTGAACACTTTTCAAGCAGTTCTTATCTCAGATGGTGTGGCTTTTTTCTGTATGTTCAACTATGGAGAAATCACATGGAGCACAGGAACAGCTAGTGGTGGAGATCCTTTAACAGGACTGGGAGGGACAACAGCACAGGTATTCTTGCAGCGTTCCTGAGAACATCTGATATGGAAAATGTTTTGACCACACATGGCTCACACCTTTTCCCTTTTCAGTCAGGTTTTAATGGTGGAGATATTGGTCACTTTTTCAATCTCCCTGGTTCACGTTCAAATGACGTTGTAAATATTGAACAGACAACCAATGTAAACATTCCTGGACGCTGGTTCTTCCGCGTAGACACTGAATTAATAGATCCGGCCAATGGCTGCAGCTACAATGGCAAGTTCAAACACCAAATTGATATTGTCCAGAACAATTTATCATTTTTAAGTCAGCAAAAATCTTAAGCATCATTATGTCTCCAAATGTCTTATTTCCACCCTCTCCAGGACGCTACTACAGACGAGGGGAAATTTTCTGGTTGTCAGACCAGTGTTCACAGCGATGTCGCTGCCTTGACATAGATAATGAGGTGCAGTGCCTAGAAGCTCCCTGTGGGCAGCTTGAAACCTGTGAGCAGCAGGAAGGGGCCTTTTACTGCCAGCCCTCGCGCACCAGCACCTGTGTGGTCTTTGGGGACCCACATTATCACACTTTCGATGGTTTCCTCTATCACTTCCAAGGAACCTGCTCCTACCTGCTGGCTCAGCCCTGTTGGGAGATGGCAGGACAACCCTTCTTCAGTGTAGAAGCCAAAAATGAGAACCGAGGAGTTCCTTTTGTTTCCTGGCTTAGAGACGTCACAGTGGAGGTGTATGGTCACAGAGTCATGATACCCAAAGGTAGTTTGGGAACTGTCCAGGTGAGAATATGCCATGGGATCAAGCTGTTAAGCGAATCACCATGCTCGGTTTGAATTCATCCACCTTGACTTTCAGGCAAAAAATATATAATCCAATAAATCTATTTTCTAGTATTGGGTCAGCAGTTTCTACAGGGGTACTTTGTATCTTCTCAGAATTTCCACATGTTTTTCTTTTTAGGTGGATGGTTTGATGAAGACTTTGCCTGTCCAGCTCCAGCTTGGTGCAGTCCGTGTGTACCAGTCTGGAGTTGCCACTGCATTAGAAACTGATTTCGGACTCCTGGTGACCTATGATGGCCAACATTATGCATCCATCTCCCTACCAAGCTCTTACTTCAATAACACTTGTGGTCTTTGTGGAAACTATAACGATGACCCTGCTGATGATCCTGTCCTCCCTGACGGCTCTCTGGCTGAAAGCGTGGTGGAGCTGGGAAGCAGCTGGCGAGCAGAAGACACAGACTGGAGGTGTACAGATGGCTGCGCACAGAACTGCAGTGTGTGCGACCCTGTTACAGAAGCTCTCTTTTTTCGCTCAGACTACTGTGGGCTTATCAACAAAACTGATGGACCTTTTCGGGACTGCCGACTTGTCGTAGACCCCACAGCCTTTGTGTATAGCTGTGTTTATGACATGTGCAGCAATAGGGACAATATTACCACACTATGCCAAGCCATTCAAGCCTATGCTCTGGCCTGTCAAGCCCTTGGTGTCACAATACGTTCCTGGAGGACTCGAACTTTCTGTGGTGAGTTTCTGTATACATTAAGTTTATCTGTAAATTAACTTAAGTAGACCTCATCTAATTTATTTTTTCTTTCATTGGTTTAAAGCATTGCCATGTCCGGAATTCAGCCATTATGAAGTGTGCACAAGTGCCTGCCCGGCTTCCTGCTCAGACCTCACTGCTCCCCTGTATTGCGCTCATCCTTGCACTGAAGGCTGCCAGTGTTATGCCGGCTATGTTCTGAGCGGTAGTCGTTGTGTACAACATGACGAATGTGGCTGTGAGCACAATGGCCTCTATTACCCCCTTAATGACACTTTTTGGGCAGGCTCCAGTGGCGAGGAAGGTGACTGTACCCTCCGCTGCACCTGCGGGGTTGCTGGGGAAGTCTCCTGTTTCAATGAGTCCTGTAAGGAGGGCGAAGTGTGTATAGCCGAGGTGGGCTTGTTGGGTTGTTACCCTCAGAGAGAGGGAGTGTGCTCAATCACCCAGAATGCGGTGGCGTCATCCTTTGATGGCACCTTCCTGTTGTTCCCAGATGACAGCTCATACTACCTACTGAAGCTTTGTGGTCCAGTACCAGCTAATGGTTCAATGGTGGAGGTGAAGATTGGCAGGCGGCTGGTGAACAAAGGTCCAACATGGAAAATACCTGTGGTAGTTACAGTAGCTAACCTTGAAGCACACATGGGAGGTTCAGATTTTGACACAGTAAAGGTCAGTGTACTATATTTTTGTCATGTCATTTTAGTAGTTGAATGCCTTTAACCTGTGTACTTGTTTGTTTTTCAGGTAAATGGGGAAGCAGTGGCATTGCCTTACGTCCATCCAATGGAGACAATGATGATTTACAAAGCACCAGGTGATGCTACTGTGGTGGAGTCCAGTGGTTTGTTACGTGTTCACTACACACGCCAGGGAAACCTCAATATCTCCCTTTCAACAATTTTCTACAACGTTACTTGTGGGTTATGCGGCGTCTTCAATGGCAACGCTACTGATGACCTACGTCTTCCCAATGGACGCCTGGCAGAGTCTACTGAACAGTTCACAGACGGTTGGAGGTCAATTGCTGATGACCTCACTTGCAATGGGGACTGTGATGACCTGTACCGCATGTGCACAGATTTACGTCTTTATCAGAGTCCTTGGATGTGTGGTAATATCAATGACCCTGGGAATAGCTCTTTTCTGGCATGCCACACGGTGGTTAATCCTTCACCATTCTTCAGGAACTGCTTGTATAACATGTGTGTAAGGGAAGGGAACCGTTCAGCCCTTTGTTCTTCACTCCAGGCATATGCCACCGCCTGTCAGGATGCTCAAGTAGGCCTAGCTTCCTGGAGAAGCTCCACCAACTGTCGTAAGTAGATATGACTTTCAGTTAAATAGCTCATGTTATGCTTTATTGAGCCTGTCACACCTCTACAGTTAAATACCCTAAACTAAAATAAGTTATACTGACCTCCAGAAGAATTAGTTTTTGAACAGCCATAAACATGTAGTCCAGTATTATCTTTGTCCATATTTGACAAATAGGGTGTCTTGTCAGAGCAAACTGGATCTTTCAAACGAATGAATAACCTTGAGATTAATTACCTCAATCAACAAGTGATGTGATTTTGAAAAAAAAGTAATGCAGATGGATCCCTCCAAATAATGGATCTCTCTGAAAGATATTGATGTGAGAAAAAACAACCAATCTATGCTCACCCAAGCTAATTATCTTTAAAAACATGTAACAAAATAAACGCATATTACTTTCAAATCTTAGTTCTTACTAGCAGCTTTTCCTTGTGACAGAACTCACAAAAAGGTCTTCTTTTAAAGTTATTTTTAAAACCACAAAAAAAGTGTTTTCTTCCATGAAAATACTTGAATTGACAAATCAATAAAATCTTCGGTTTTAAGACAGTCACAAAAATCCCCAGTCAAAATTATTCTACGGAAAACTTATTGTATTCTTGTTTACAAAAGGTGTTCAGGAGTTGGACAAATATTTAAAAGGAAATGTATTCCCTTTCATTTTGGTTTTCTAAAAGCTTCCTGCTTTGCTGATTGCAGTTTAAATCAGTTTGAGTTCACGTTAGTTACTCAGATTCGAGGGAAGCTTAGATTGAAAATGTAACATGAAACATTCAAAACCACCCTGGTAAACATAATCTGTACTTTGAGTTAGTATTCATGTAGTGATTTGGTCCCCTACATTTTTGCTAAATGCCTTAAAGCACTGTTTCAATGTGACAATAGTTTAATGGTTTAAAATAAAACAAAATACTTACTGTGCTAGATGTCAAGAAATCTGTCGAGCTGTTTTGCGATAGACATATTTTGAGTAAAATAGATGACCAAAAATACAAATACGGAGCACGTAGCAAAACAATGGATGATTAGTTTGAAGAAAAAATTGACTTGTCACTTCAAAAGCCATAAGAGGAATAAGAACAAAATTATCTCCCTTGTGTATTACTTTAAAGGCATAATAGTAGCTTCAAAGAGTACAACTGAATTGTTTTTGTCGAGTCATAAATAATGCAGCTTGATGCATGGGCACCTCATTTTCACCAGATGAAAGTCTCGCCAGTCAGTGTTCAAATCCAGGTCAATGGCTTTCAAATTTTGAAAATGTTTATCCTAATCAAAACAACTCTAATCTTAATTGAATTAACATTTTTAATTGGAGACAATCTTTCAAAAAAATGTTCTTACATCACTTTTCTGTCTTAGCTCTTCCTTGTCCAGAGAACAGTCATTTTGAGGAATGCACCAGTGCTTGCCCTCTCACCTGTGCCAACTTGGATGAGCCTGAGGAGCCATGTCCTCTGCCATGTCAAGAAGGGTGCCAGTGTGAGGACAGCTTTGCTCTGCGGGATGGCCTGTGTGTAGCACGCAGTGATTGTGGCTGCATGACACACGGGCGCCAGTTGGCTACCAATCAGACTTTCTGGACAGACTGGGAGTGCCAGGAGCGTTGCTACTGCAATGGCTCTGACAACAGTATATACTGTCAACATGCGCCTTGTCACCCCGAGGAGTACTGCCAGGAAAATGATGGCCTGTATTTTTGTCAGCCGCGTACTGAGGCCTTGTGTGTGGCTGCTGGTTATGGGCATTTTCTGCCATTCGGTGGAGTACCATTTGAGCTGCAGACCTCTTGTACTCTCGGAATGGTAACCACCAACTGCGGGAATGAGAACAAAGAGCAGGCAATGATGAGTGGGTATTATCCGCAGTTCAGACTGGCAGCTCATAATGAGGAAAGAGACACAAGCCAGGCTATCTGGGTGAGAGGCTTTGTGCTGGAGGTCTATGAGTACGAAATTGAAGTGTCTCGGAGCTACAAAAACACCATCACTGTAAGTAATTGAACATTCTTGAGAATATCCAAGTGTAATGATGTGTCAATACAGGGGGGCTCAAAAGTAGTAGTTGTTGCCTGACAATGGGCGAGTTGGTGGTAGGATCCCAGGCTGCAAATCCAGGTGTGTTAGAACAAGATATTGAAACTCTATTTGCCTGCAATTCAGCCCACATTGGGTGTGGTGTTCCTCAACAAATGTGAGGGTTGCGTCGAGAAGACTACAAATGCCAAACCTACTATTCAAGTCAAGGCTGATACTCTGTAGCGACCCCTGACAGAACAAGTTGAAAAGCGATTACAACAATGATATGTCAGCATAAGCAGTATCTAGTTACAATACAGATTAGTTGTTGTTGTGTTTTTGTTTTGTTTTTCGTTTTTTTTTTTGCCTGCCCTCTCAAGGTCATTGTTGGTGAGGACATTTGTCTTGTTTCTAATCAAACTGATAGAATGACCAGGCACTGGGTGAATTCCTCTTTGATTGGCTTAAGCAGGATCTGATTTCAATGGCCATCTTTTATCAGGCTGGATTTGGCTCAGACAAAAACCTGACCCTGAGCGATTCTTGGACTGAGTTCACAAACTGACTAAAAGATCTGAGGAGAAATGCACACACTTACACACATGAGCAACCAAACACATTTTTCTTTGTCACTCTATTGCTTAATATGTTATAAAGTAATGTTGAGAACAATCCAGTATAGTATCTTTTCATCTGTGTATCTCTGAGATTCTGCACATGCTTTTAAAACATGGAAATCAGTGGTCAATTTGGTTGAAAGTGCCTATGCAGAAGTGTTTATGTGTCCTGAAATAAAACCTGTTAAAATAGCTGTACTTTTGTCGTTTAGATCAATAAGGAGCGTTTGTACCTTCCTCTGAAGCTGGGCTCAGGAAAGATCAACATCTTCTCCTCTGGCATCCTGCTCATTCTAGAGACAGACTTTGGCCTGAAGGTTGCTTTTGACTGGAGCACTCTCTTGCTGTTAACTTTACCCCGAGACCTTTATAATACAACCTGTGGCATCTGCCAGGGCATGCCCTTATCGCCACCAACCCTGACCACCACTGACTGGGGTATGGCCTGGGCAGAGAGGGTTAACTTCTGCCAGGTGGGCTGTGGAGACTCCTGCCCACGTTGTGGCCTTGGAGAGAAGAGTATGGTAAATGAAGCTGCTCTTATGGTGGCTGATGGCAACATGAACACTGGTGCCGATGATGAAGCAAATGAAATCGCCACAGGCATTCGTTTCCACTTTGGAGATGGGCTTTATGTTTTTGTGGAACCTGAGGCAGTGAGGCTGTGTGGGCTAATTGTGGATCGGGGAGGTTTATTTGCACGTTGTCACAGCAAGGTGGCACCAGCCTTCTTTTATCAAAGCTGCCTGCAAGACACCTGCTTGGATCAGGGAGCTCAGGATACAGTCTGTAGCTGGTTGCAAATCTATGCCAGCACTTGTCATACTCAAGGAGTGACTGTCACTGGCTGGAGAAGCGATACACCATGTGGTGAGTGGATTTACTTTTGATTTCAACACAAGCTTTTGTTGTTTGCGCCACAGGATATAATACTATCCATGCAGATTTGGGATTTGCGCACAAGTGCTTTAACATTGTTGAAAAATGACTAGCAACAACCAAAAGTCCTCACAGCCTTAATAGTTGGGAGAACTGCTGTGAGTATTTTTTTTAATAGTGCGTTGCTTATTTCACATTAGACATGAAGACAGTTTAATATCGCCTGAGATGTATTTCAACATTGTATAAATTTATTTATAAAGCTGTTTTTAATCAAATAAGCTAATATGTGATCTTTGCATGTTTTTAAATTAATTCTTTTTAGGTTGGCCAAGTTTAATACAGAGATAATCTATTTTATATTCTCACACACAAACATAAGCAAATTAGCTTATCTCACTTAAAGTCAAACAGCCCCTTTAGTTATAATTAAACAGAATGTGCACAAGAGATAGAACATGTTCGCAAACATTTACACCTGAAAATCTAACATTCATTCACACAAGAAAACAGCTCATTGTCGCTAACACCCGATAGAGGAAGAAGAATACTTTATTGATCTCAACATGGAGAAATTCATAAGCTAATATCTTTGCCAAATTTCCTGTTCCCAGTCCAGAACTGTCCACCTAACAGCCATTACTCCAGTTGCGTGTCTGTTTGCCCGCCCCAGTGTGCCCCAGCCCGTGGCCACAGAGACTGCAGCCAGGACTGTGTGGAGGGATGCCAGTGTGATCAGGGCTACGTGCTCAACGGCAAGAATTGCATTCTGCCTCAAAACTGTGGCTGCTATACTGATGGCAAATACTTTGAGGTCAGTCTCACATCTGACCTAACAGTCATTTAGCATCATACCATAAATAAGGTCATGTCTTAACCTGAGTCTTTATTACAGCCTAAACAGCTGTTTTGGAACAGTGACTGTACCAAACGGTGCCAGTGCATCGGCAGAAACCTGATCCAGTGTGACCCTAGGCGCTGTAAGGCAGAGGAAGAATGCACCCTGCGGCATGGGGTTCGAGGATGCTTTGCACGTCGCTCTCAGCACTGTTTGGCATCAGGTGGCGGAGTCTTCAGGACATTTGATGGGGCATCTCTGCGTCTTCCAGCCTCTTGCTCCTTTGTCTTGTCTACTAACTGTCACAAGCTGCCTGACCTCTCCTTCCAAATCATTGCTAACTTTGATAAATGGAGTACACCCAACCTAACCACCATTTCTCATGTTTACCTTTACATAAATGAAGAGAACATTCTCATCTCAGGCAGTACTGTCAAGGTAGGAGAAACATTTAGTTGTTGTTGGTTGGCAAATGTTCAAAAGCACACACATGGCCACAGTTTGAGTTTATGCTGCGTGCTAATTGCACCAGTTGGAGTTGGACAAAGAGTGAGCATTTAATGTGGCTGTCAGTGTGCATTGGGCAACGCATGAAGGGAACCTTCTGTGCCATATGATAAAGATAAGAATAATAGAAATAATAATAATCCTTCAGAGGGCACCTGCAGAAACACTTGTAAGGGAAATGAACATTCGTTCACGCTAAATATGGCAAGTGTCGAAGAAGATATAGTCTTCCATTTTTTGTTAAACGATAGTAAAAGTCCATCTATCAACTATATGATAGACTTTTATTACCAAAACTGACTTTTACTGAGGAGGCACAGTGGTATGGTGGTTAGCGCTCACGGCAAGCGGGTGCCCAGCCTAAGTCACCGGGGTAACAGGAACTTTCTGTGTGGAGTTTGCGTGTTCTGCCTGTGTCTGTGTTGGTTCTCTCCGGAAACTCTAGTGTCCTCCCACCATCTAAAAGCATCCATGTTAAGTTAAATTGACACAACAAAATGCCCATAGGAGTGAATGTGAGTGTGTGTGTTTGTGAGTGTGTGTGTTTGTTACTGTGTGGCATTGCGACCTATCGTGGGTGTGCCCTGCCTCTCACCCCCTGCCCACAACCCAGTTTGGAATAAGCAGTATCAAAAATAAATGGGTGACTTTTAGTGTCAAACAGGACAAAAATATTTTTTTTGTTTAAACAGGTAAGTTACCTTCTGTTGGTTTAATGCCACCTTCTGTCCAAGATGTTTTTACCATTACAAAGAAATGGATCAAACTGAAATCTTGCTTTCTTTCCCGAATACTTGAAAACGTTCTTACAGTCCAATTTACCGGTTATGTTTCCAGTAATAGCCCATTAGAGGTGTTCCAGTTCTGGCTTTAGGCCATACCATTCAAACGTAAGCACACTTACATACATAATGACAAAACTGATTGCCTCAAATCCCAGAGAGCCCTAATCCTGCTTGATCAGCCATCCACAAAGACATTTCTCTGAAGTGGCCCAAGAAGTATCTTGGCATCCATTGTCCAACACTGTGGTGACTCAGATCGTATTCACCGGAGCGAAGAGAAATCACAGTGCCATCTCAGATTGTTTTAATCTGTGCCTCTGGCTGTCGCCTTTCTTATTGTGTTATACAATGTGCGGCCACTTTCAAAGATTATTTGTGACGATGTATAATCGGTTTATGCAGATGATACTCAAAATTTGAATCCCTGCCTGATGTGTTTGGGTTATTGTAAACTGGCTCAAACACCCAAAAAAAAAAAAATCTGTTATTGAATCTTTTCAGGTGAAAATATTATTCACCTAATATTCCTATTATTAATCATTCCTTCCTGTATTGTTAAATATGTCCAACTTGGTACAAACAAGCTTAAACAAATTATTTACAACGGTCTCCAACAAAGCTTGGACTTCTCGGGATCTAATTAAACCTAAACCTGTTATATTTCTTATTGCTTTATTGATTAGCAACTGATTCCTACTTTGAATCCCCAGTGGACCAGGGGTGAGTGGGGTGCCAAAATACATTCATGTTAGGTTAGTTGTGAGTGTGGAAGGTTGTTTGTTTATGAGTGGCCCAGTGATGGGCCCCAACATGGGTTATGCTTCAACCCCCCCCCCCCTTGAGTCTACTAAAACTAAGTGGTGTCGAAAATATAAGGAAGAAACCTGCAGCTCGTGTGAAAAGAAGCTTATCTTATGAGTTGTTTCCTTCATACTACCTGTTCCTTCGCAGGTCAATGGTACACCAGTTTCAGTCCCATTTCTAACAGGACTGATGACGCGTCTATCCACATCTGAAGGCTTCATTGTCATTGATACGCCACAAGATATTCAGGTTCGGTATAACCGCTTCAACACTCTCAGCATCACAATGGGCCAGCGGCTTCAGAACAAGGTATGTGGCCTTTGTGGAAATTTCAATGGGGATCCCAGTGATGATTACATCACCTCCAGAGGAAAACCAGCTGTAAGTGCCCTGGAGCTGGCCCAGAGCTGGAAGACCAACGGCATGCAGAACAGGTAGATAGACCAAGATGTTCAGGAATATAAAATTAATATGACCAATTGTTACATGAACGTTTGCGATTGTTCTAAATTTACTATCATCTGACTGTGAAGGACAGAAAATAATCACCAAATTCAGCAATACTTTTTAAAGGCTTTCCCCTCTGAAAAGATATTGAAAAATCACATTTACAGATCTGGGAGTTTCTTTTTCCTCTTTATGGTCTAGTTGTGATGAGACCCAGTATGTTGCATTGGCCCAGTCCTGTGACAACTCAGCAGTCCTGGCTCTGCAGGGAGAGGATGCCTGTCAGAAGCTGACCCAGCTGAAGGGCTTCTTCCAGCCATGTCATGGCCTACTGGATCCAAGGCCCTTTTACCAGTCTTGCTACCTAGATGGCTGCTATAATCATCGCAAGGCTCAGGTCTGTGGTTCACTGGCAGCCTACGCTGAAGCCTGTCGCTCCTTGGGCACCCTGACCACCAAATGGATCACTCAGGAGAACTGCTGTAAGAGCACTGAGATACATCAATGTCTCAGAAACGCATGGCACACGCACAGCACTTTTGTTCTCTGTATGTTTTGGACAGATATAAAAACGTATAGTTTAAATGCTGATGGAATTTATGTCATGTACAATAAATGACAGTGTCATGAGAGAAATAGAAATATCAACATAACTGCTTTATTAGAAATGTCGTCTTCGTCACAAAGTAATTACAGATTAAAGGTTGCTCATTTGACGTTAAGTGGGACTTCTGTAAATGTCTGTGAGTATAAATGCAGGACAGGAAATTCTAAAACAACCACAGATTGTCACAATTTTGTTTTTATTCTGTGCATAAATTACTATAAAAGTCTTGTGTGTGAGACAACTAACATTGTGTTCGGACCTGACTTTAGCAGAATGGATCTATGACCCCTGTGCTGGAGAGATCTGCACAAACTTCACCTGTGAACTGGAAAATGGTGGAGACCTGTGTGGCTGTCCTGAGTTACCTACCAATCCTGCAGGTATGATTTTAAATGTTTTATATTCTTAGTTAAAGTCTCACTCTCGAGTTTCAGAAAAATACAATGAAGTTTATTCCTTTAAAAAAAACTCTTATGACTTTGTTATAAAAAAAAAACTCTGGTGGACAAAAGGGGCTTTGATGTATGATTCTCAACTTTCCTCACTTTGTATGGATCTATGAATATGCTCATCTGGACCTATCTATATCTCTTCCCACTTTGTCTTTACAACACCATCCTGGTTAAGTCTGACACTGCTATCCTATGCAATATTATCTCCAGTTTTTTAAACCAGTGGGTCAAAATTTCAACAATAACCAAAGAAAATATTTTAAGAAATTACTGCTAGTTGACTAACCTAAATTGCGGCTGCTTTTTAGGAGTGTGCCAGGCTGCTGGAAGCTGTAGGTGTTGGCTTGTAGCTACTAACTGAAGTTAGACCAACCCTCACTAGCGGCAAGTCCGCAGCGAGCAGCTGCCGGTGCTCATAACCATGGATGCTAAAGAACAATAGTGTTTTTGATTCAGCTAAAAGTGACAGAACATGGCAAACATTGACATTTTGAAAGCTATCCACATCCATTCTATAATATTAAGTTTGTTTGTTTTTTTACAGACCCTTCTATAGCTAGTATAAATGCCACCAGCTGTTTGGAAATGAACAATTCATGGCTTACACTGTTCCTATGAAGTTCCATCCTACAAGTAGTTAAGACAAGGACTAACACTTGTCTTGTGAAAAATTGCTAATTCACTGAGTTACAATTTGGCTAATGATATTAATTCAATCAAACAGCTTATGGACATTAACAAGTGTAAAACTTTTTAGCACAGGAAACCTTTTTTACTCATAGATTTGTGCAGTTTAAACAACAATTCTGTGTTGGTATCTTTGTCTAGCAGGTGATGACGATATCATTCAAGCAGAGGTTAATTGTAAGCATGCTCAAATGGAGGTCTCCATCTCAAAGTGTAAGCTCTTCCAGTTGGGCTTTGAAAGGGAAGATGTCAGGATCAATGATGAACACTGTGCCGGCATAGAGGGAGAGGACTTTATCTCCTTCCAAATTAACAACACTAAAGGACACTGTGGTTCCATTGTACAGGTTTGTCCATATGTACTTGAATTTTAAGTTGTTTCTACAGTGTTGACGGCTGTGCCAATAGTTTTTCAGCTGCATCAGCTTTTTCTAAAATTCTTTCTTTGACCCCATGCTTAGTCATTAAGTCTTTAATCAACCTGGGGACTTATTTGAACTTTGATAACCAATTGCTATGCAAAAGTCGTCTTTGAAATGTCTGTATAACGATTAATCCAATTTGACATTAAGGTGAGGTTTATTATATTTAGCTTTTTTAAGACTTTTTTAAAAACTTTTTTTTGTTGCTTTTTTAAACTCTACTGAAAATATATTACATATCCCCAAAACACAGTACAAGTTAAATTTTTGTTTTAAGAAATCCATAAGTAGTGAGTTAGTTCTTCATTTCTTCCACAGTCAAATGGCACGCACATCATGTATAAGAATACTGTTTGGATAGAGAGCGTGAACAACACCGGCAACGTCATCACAAGAGATAAAACCATCAATGTAGAGTTTTCCTGTGCATATGAACTTGACCTGAAAATTTCCTTGGAGACCGTTCTCAAGCCCATGCTCAGGTCAGACTCAGACTAAACTGTCTATGTAGATTAAACATATCTGTATTTTAGGCCAAAACAACTGCCAGCTTGTGTCAATTTCCTTCTTCTCTCTATTTTCCAGTGTGATTAATCTCACCTTACCGACTCAGGAGGGAAACTTCATAACAAAGATGGCACTGTATAAGAATTCCTCTTACCGCAACCCATACAGAGAAGGGGAGGTGGTGCTCAGCACTCGGGATATCCTTTATGTGGGTGTTTTCGTGGAAGGGGCAGATGAAAATCAGCTCATCCTGATAGTGAATATGTGCTGGGCCACACCATCTCGCTACAGCAGTGACCGACTCCGATATATTATCATAGAGAGGGGGTAGGTGAAGGTTTTTAGTCTTGGAGTCACACATAGACATTTGTGTTAAAATCTCGCTCTGTAGTTTGCAGCATTCACTTGATACAGTCATACAGGCTTTTCTGTTACTTGTCATCATCACGTTGTTACATATTGGCGTACTGCCTTGTAATTCAGCACACCCCAAAGGAAGTTGATCTATTTATCTACCAATTAAACAACAAGGCCAGTCAGAGAAAGTGGAACTTAAAGTGATCACCTAGAATCAAGCATTTCAGCCTGGATTAGATTGAAATTGCCATGTTGTCTTCTTCATGTAATCTTAATGTAGAGCTAACGGTGTATATCTCTGAAATAAGATTTGGAATTTACAAACAGAATATAGCATGAGCTTCTTTGACGGAACATTGTAGAATTTTCAACCATGTCATCTTTTAATTAGTTGGGCTTTCCAAGTATTTTGTTAGATATTACCATAGACATTTAGCATATTGTCAATTATGAAGGCAAATTTGACAAAAGGAATAGCTTCAGTGAATGAAGAATCCTGAATAGACAGAGACACAAGGATGTGTCTACTGAGTAATTTACATGTCTTAAGTACCTGATATGTCATAAATCCCTGTTTTTATACTCAGCAAACAATAACATTTCATTTTACTATGTAAAACTGCCAGGTGTGGTAACACTCAACTGTGATTTACACTTTTACAACAAAGAATTGTAGCGTTGTGAGGCAGGAAGAAAAAGTGGTGTCCTTGCCATAGGCCCCTCCTTTCTTTTTTGCAATCTTTGTGGGAACTGACTGGCAACAAATTAGAATAGAACACTTTTAGGGTTTGTCTATAAAAGAAGAAATATTAATAAATATTCATTATTGGATAAATTTGAAGAAATAAAGAAAGGCCGGGCAACTAAAATAAATATAGCTATGAAATATCTCAACAAAGGCAAAAAAAAAAGGAATTACAGGAATTTAGCTCTAGGATGCCAAACTTTTCCAACTACACTTCTAGGTAATGTTATTAGATTACATGAATGAACATACAAGCTAAGACTCAGCTAAAGTTATCTTATCTTCAAGGGTGCTCAAAAATAGTGCACTTACAATATTAGTTATTAGATGAACAAGTCTATAAAATCACACTCACGAAAGGGTACGTTTTTATAGGAGTATGAAAATTAAAGTTGCAAAATATTTGTTGCAGACAACAAATATGCAGACAATGCAGACTAATTCCCATAACTATTGTCCTTGTTTAGGTGCCCAAACATTAAGGACAACACCATTGGCATGGCAGAAAATGGTGTATCCCTTACCTGCCGCTTCCACGTCACTGTATTCAAATTCATTGGAGACTACGATGAGGTCCACCTGCACTGTGATGTTACGCTGTGTGACTCAGATACTAATGCCTGCAAAGTGGTGAGAAAGAAGTAAAAACATCTCATAAATCAAAAACAATTTAGTGGTTTTTCTACTGATGTGTTTGATGTATGTCCAGAACTGTCCGCACAAGAGAAGAATGTATTCAGAGGACAAAGACCATAAGGAGCACATACTGAGTGTGGGACCCATCAGAAAAAGAGGTAGGTGGGACTGAATGGCTGACCAACAAATGCTTAGTTCTTCGGTTTTAAACACCATATTTAAGGTAAATGCAATACGTCTTTCATCAAGAGGATTTCCACAACGTGCTTGTCTTGTGTCCTAAGATTCTGACTGGTGCGAAGACCATAATGGAGGCTGTGAGCAAATCTGCACCAGTAAGGGGACAGGGCCCATCTGCAGCTGTGTGACGGGGATGCTGCAGCGAGATGGAAAAAGCTGCCGAAGTGAGAACCACACAAACCCTTATAAAAATACATTTTAAGTTGTTCTGTCTTACCATAATGGATCACTCTAAACTTCATCCCAGCTATCGATTACTATATATGGAGAAATGTGCTTTACTTAAGCTTTTAAAGATTTTAAGCAAGGTTACAATGGAAACTTTTTTTCTCTTCTTTTTTTAAAATCTCTTTTTATAGCTTTAAGTCACATTCTTTGTGAAATTATAAGAAAAGCAGATAGTCTAATTACCTGCATATCCATCACAGAAAACATTTACCAACAAAGCAGAATTGTACAATTGGTTAAAATTAAAAACAGAAATATCTTGTTAGTGGTATTACTACCAGCAGGCATTTTTTGGAGATAGCTCAAACCCACAAATCTTTAATGACACAAGTTAAACCAAAGATATGTGGTCTTTGAGTGTTTGATAACTATCAAACACTCAAAGACACCTCAGATTTGTCACAGGGAGCACTAAACTGACTAAATAGAATATTTCCTACTGAGATGGAAAAATGGAAATAATAAAGTGTGATATGTATTTTTACATCTAACAAATGATGTCTGAATTGTTATTTTTGCAGCTTCAAGCTTGAGCTGTAACATTTCACCAACAGTTCCTCTGCTGAGCATCAGTGCTGTGATCTCTATGCACGTGACTTGTTTTCACATCTCTCTCCTCTCCTAACACCATACCTGTGAGCCAAAGGAGGGCAACAAATGACAAACAGTCAGAAGACTTGAAGACCAGCAACGCTTCAGCATTGAATAGTCAGTAGATCAACGGTGTTTTAGACAAAAAAAAATGACAGAGAACACACTGAAACTCATAAAGTGTTTAAAACTGATTTAATACAGCTGATAGAAAAGTTAGAGATGACTCGACATAGATATGTACTTTGTGTTAACGTCCTCATGTGAAGACCTCATTGCCTATTATTCACTTAAAGCACAATGTGTTGATTTTTTTCCAGGCTATTATACTTGTCCCTATTGATTTTGTCAGTCTATATTCTCAATGTGTTTTGGATTTTGGCGGCACAGTGGTTAATGCCATCACAGCAAGAAGGTTCTGGGTTCGAGTCCCAGGGGACCTTTCTGTGTGGAGTTTGCATGTTCTCCGTGGGTTCTCTCCAGGTTCTCCGGCTTCATCCCACAGTCCAAAAACCTACATGTTAGGTTGATCGGACATTCCAAATTGCCCTTAGGAGTGAGTGTAGTTGTTTGTCCTTGTATGTCTTGTGTGTGGCCCTGCGATGGACTGGTGGACCGTGGACCCTGCCTCTCGCTGACTGACGACTGGGATAGGCTCTAGTTCTCCCCACAACCCCATTAGGGAACAAGCGGTAAAAAAAGGATGGATGGATGGATGGATGGATGTTTTGTATTTTCCCAGAGGGAGGCGCCAAAGAAACAAAATCTAACAATCCAACACTTTGAATTTAAGTTGTCTTAACGGTAAAAGTCAAGGAAAGATGTTTAAAAAAAAACTGATAGGGGAAAAAATTATTTAGTTGAATTTCTTTTAAGGTACATCGCTAATATTTAATGAACAGTAAAGTTGACATGAGGAAGTGACATGAGGCAAGAACAACTTAATGTGGACTTTTCAATTATCACAAGTGACAAAGAATAAAAAGCTATCTGATCAAACATAAAATCAGACATAAATTTAAAAAAATTATTAGCAGTCTAGAAGCTAAATGAGGATGTCACTGATATCATCAGTTAATTGAATCCAAAAGATGCTATTTGTAAGAACTGGATGAACAAGTAGGTGCAACAGTTGATCCAATGATTCATGATCTAATAGTTTAACCTATTTGTAAATGGCCCAAAGTTTTATCAGTTTTATGAGACTGTAAAGTTTGAGCCTAACAATAGTCATAGAATGTAATGAAAGATTAACAGAAAAAAATTACATAATGCCGGTTTGTAACTCTTTCAGCAAAAGACCCTCACTTATGACCAACATAAATTTGGATACTGACTTTTCAGAACTACAGTCTTCAAAATAGACAATATTTCTCACAAGATAAGTGGGGCTTGGAAATCAATGTTTGTAGGGTTGAATGAGAGTTATTGGCAGGGTTACTTATAAATACTGTTGATCTAATAACTAATGTTGTCAGTGCACTGCCTAAGAAACATTCACACTGTGTTGTATGGAGCCTCCCAGGCACACTAGGCTAACTTAAAATAAGTTGTTGGTGCTGACTGGTTACTTGCAGGTCACAAAGCTCTTGTCTTCCAGTCCTTTGAGATTCTCCACATCTTATTATGTCCTTATTTCTGTTTTTCTGAGGGCAGGGCAGGTGTTCAGCTACCTGTGCAAGTGTGATGTTTGTGTAGGCTTTCTTGGCAAACAGGAACAGAAATTGCCTTACAAAAATAGTTTTGGTTGCAAAGCTCATCACTTTGAAACTATGCATTGTGAGTTTTTAACAGGTCAGTATATATAATCCTGATGTTCAGCACCTGATTCCATGTTAATATTTGGTATAAACATTCTGTTTATCTGTTAACATACAGACATTCGCCAAAAACTGCCTGTTTCATGGCATTTATGCTTAAGAGAGTAATAAGAGCTCTTATTACTCAAGATGTGAAACCAGTAATTAAGACCATAATCTTTACTTTATTTTTCTCACAAACCTCCATACATTCCAAGAACAAGGATTTACCATATTCGCTCATTGCATGTCACTAAACTGTTCACTCGTTCATTATCAGACTGCATAGTGTTCATGAGGACATTTAGAGAACTCACAATTGGATGAAGGCAGACAGTACAAGTTTTTGACAAAAAATGTGTTATAACGTTTCTCTCCACAACACTGACAACATTTTACTATACAAATTTGTGTTCACATTAACTTTATTTATTAGTCAGTGTTTACTAACATGAGCAGAAACTGAAGCCGTTATATGGTAAACTTCTGTTTACTAATAAATAATTCATTTTACCCACCAAATGTACATTTCAGAACAAAGTTGTTGTTAAACCATTGTTATAGCCCACAAGTGTTTCCAAGGCAATATGTATTTCAACACATATCTGACTGTTTGCTAGAAACATTTAACTGTCAATTATTGTATTTTCCTTATATTTCTTCAAACTATCATACTGATCAGCTGTGAATGGTGGTTGACTAGTGCTGGCTAGTACTGGCTAATAGTGACATGTTCTTAGCATACTACAATGCTTTGTGGTGTATTTCAGCCCCCTTCTGTACAAATATACTGTACTCTAGAAATATTACCAACCATTTATTGGTGGAGCAGTGGAACAGAGAAACAGTGGAAGGTGACTGAAATGATCCATTTATAATTTGGAACATAACTTCATTTCTGACTCCCATTCTTGTTGACTATGAACGAGTGAACAATTTGAACAAAGCTTTTTTTTAATGACAAGAAAAACATTATGGGCATTGGTGATGTATTGTTATAATTGACACAGAAGTGAAGTTTCTAAAAAGAAAAAGAGTATTTATTTATGTTTGGGGAAAGCACCTTATTAATTAAACACTTATGTGTCTTGAGGTTAGCTCCCAGATGTTTTGGCTCTAAGAAACAACTTTAAATGGGCTATTTAAATTCTTAGATTTAAATTATTCTCATCTTCATCTATATGACGTACACACTGAAGTGTTTATGCATGGTCTATCTGTTAAGATTTTGTATTGAACTGGATCATAGTTGCTCTGTGTTTGGCACAGGACCACCAACATACATCTTAAGCAAACTTCCTGCTTCTGAAGTCAATTGATATTTACATGTAGTTAATCTAGATGGGAGTTATTTCATTGGTAGGCCTCAGTTTTGCTGCCTTCCGTGTACAGATGTACAGTTCTTGGTTGGTTTGCTGTTTTTTTTCATTGCTTTGTTTTGAATAATCATTATCTTCATTTAATATGCAAAACATGACCAAAAGATGTTTTATTCTTTGTGAGCAGCACCAAACTTCAATAAATGAATGTTGTGAGAGTTGGTTTGAGTGGAGTTTCTTTAATGCGTGCAGCAGCTGTTCATTGCACAGCTGGGTCTTGTTAGTAGTTACACTCCAGCGGGCAATGCTTGAGTAAGCACATTACTGTCATTACATCAAAAAAAGTATTCCGTAACCAAAAAAATAAAAAGGGAATGTAACATATTGCTAAACATTCTGAAGTCCTCTAAACTGCCTGAACAGACCTAATAGTGTTTCTCCGTCCCCTAGCAACATAAAAATATTATGTGAGTTTATCAGTTCTCACCTTGTTACTGCCCTCAATTTGAGTTACTTTTTTACCACAACCTAGCAGACTGTGATTCATGTCTTTGAGGTGTTTCTATTTACTGTCATCTAGGTGTCATCTATTATCTATCTATGTCATTGGATCAGAAATGGATATTAGCCCTGCACAACTTAAATTAGCTTTTTTATCAGAAACCACATAAATACTCACTTTAGCATAGTATGCTATCACATGATCTATGTAGATTACTAATTGTTTTATTTCTTTTATAACTATATGAAGTCTCTGGCTGTAACCACAGATTCTCTTTGCTGTCTATTTTCTTTCTCTCTTTTCTTTCTCTGTTGCATTAGATCCACGTCTTTAAGTCAACACACACACACACATTCTTTGGCACCACATTCCAATGTCATCAACATGAATTTACGATCCGGCTTGTTAGTCTTAGAGGTAACTAACCAATAGGACTTGGTTGTGTCCAGTCCTCCTTTTGAGGGGTGTGCCCAGCCCAGGAGACAAAGATCCATCACACCCAGATCTCGTGGCTCTTTGCTGACTGAGACCCTGAGAGAGATGTTACCTCTGTGAAGAGCCAAGCGCTGAAATACTTTACCTGTGACCCAATAAATGTCAATATTTTACTCTTGATCGACTCAGGTTTATTCTCAGGTTTCCAACTAAAGAATCAGGTTAACAACTTCATCTGATGAAGAAATTGTTAGAATTGGGCTATAGTTACTCATTTTACCATTGTATGCTATCACATAATCCATGTAAATTACTCATTGTTTTATTCATTTTAGACCAATCCTCTTGTGTTAAACTCTGGGTGTGCCCATTCTCAACACCCATGCACACTTTCTTATCACATTCCAGTTAAATCTGCATGAATTAGGAGCATGTCTGTTCATGTCAGAGCTAACTGGCACATAACACTCGGTTGCAGACTCTGCCCAGAAGATAAATGTCCATCACACCCGGATTTCAGTGCTGTTGTCGACTGAGATCCTCAGCGAACTTTGTCAATTACAGCCCAGCGCTGATTTTCTTTAGTTGTGACCAAATAAATTTAATATTTGATTAAATTGATTTGATCTGTTCTCTAGTTTATTTTTATCAGGCTTCCAACTAAAGAATAGGGCTAGGAAAATCTATGAAGTAACAACAACACCAGGATATCTCCACCATATCTAACTGGCCATATGACCCTATTGCATCAACTTATGGTTTTACTTATAACAGGTTTCTTTGATGCGCCCAGAGACACACTTTATTTTTAAATGTGTCATGGGCAGTCTGATTTTTATTTAACATTTTGTGGATTTGTTTCTAGATTCTGATTCCATATCCCTTATGATGTTTTTCCACTTGTACCTACTCTGCGCTACATGGCATGGCTCAACAGTTAGTACGGTAGAACCTGCTCGGCCGAGGTTTCATCAGGGCGGGGTAGGGAAGGCGGCAGACTGCCGGGCGCTGATTGGCCTGGGAGTCACATGATTAGATGGGGACACGTCACGTGTACACCGCCCATTTTAAAAACGGGAAACAACTAATATCTTTAATTATTAACACTTTAACAAGTAACATTTTAATTATTTCTGTGACCATACTCTTGCTAATACCTAACACACGGACCAATACAAAGGTTTATCCTTTATATTGTTGCGTCAATGTCCTCAATTCTAGTCTCGTGCTTGTGTTGCAGCATATAACTGACGTCACTCGCCTACCGGCCGCATGCCCATAGTCAATACGCATGCGCGAACTGCGAAAAGTAGCGAACACTTGGAGAAGCCGACAGATCGCCATACCTTTCGTACAAAACTAAAGGGAT